GCCTGGATTGCTCCCTTTGGTGTTCCCGAAATGCTCATCTGTGACCAGGGCCCGGAGTTCACCGGGGAACAGTTCATGGAGTTCATGTCGCAAATGGGCACCGCCATCCATTACACCGATGGAGCGACACCCTGGAAGAACGGGAGAGCAGAGCGAGCGTTGGGAACTGTAAAGACCAAGCTGAAGGCGGTGATCCAGGAGACTTCGGCTACAGCGGAAGAGCTGGACTTGGTGGTGGCGCAGACGGTGGCGGCTCACAACAGCATGTTCGATCGTCACGGTTTCTCGCCCAACCAAAGGCTCTTCGGACGTTCGCTTCGACTCCCAGGTTCTCTGATGGCGGAGGACAGATGGGACCAAAAGATGGTCAAAGCGGCTGGAGGAGACTTGATTCAGCGGAGTTGGGCAATTCGAGAAGCCGCGCGAGCGGCGTGGATCAAGGAGGACGATGTGTCTTCGGTACGACAAGCTGTGCATGCCCAAACTCGACGATCTGATCTGCACTCCTTCACCTTCCAGGCGGGCCAATGGGTGTACGTCTGGAGGCGCAATGCTCAACACCATGGATGGGTAGGCCCAGGCTCCCTCATCGCGGTCACCCCCGGAGGCAACTCATGGTGGGTGAATATGCGAGGAAGGTTGTGGAAGGTGGCGACGGAGCAGCTGCGGCCTGCTTCGGCCGAGGAGGAGCTGGGAACCGCCCTACTTCTCGACTTGCACAAGGACATGTTGCAGCAAATTCGAGAGGGCGTCCGTACGGGCTATGAGGATGTGGAGGCCGAAGGACCTCCTGATCACGATCATCGCATCGAGGAATTGTTCCCCGAGGTGTTTGGCGACGACGAGGGCGTGGATGTTCAAGAGGACGCGCACCACGACCAAGATGGTGAGCGTTTGACGGAGGCAGGTACCACTACGGTGGGCGAACATCCGAGCGACCGGGCACCTACGTCGGAGCCAAACTTGAGCAGAAGACAAAGTGTGGGTTCAGTTTTGCCAGATCGTGATCTACTACCAGCTTCATCCACAACGGCTAATGAGTCAGGTCGTGATCTACTACCAGCTACCATCTCCATCCGCAACAGCTAATGAGCCAGGTCGTGATCTACTACCATCTCTATCTGCAACGGCTAGTGAGTCAGGTCGTGATCTACTTCCATCTTCGTCCTTGGGCGATTCCGGGCCTCAGCAACAGCCAGCTGCGAGTTCCGGGCGAAGGTCGATTCAGATTGACGAAGGAGACCATGCGCCTCTGCTGGTGGAGCCAAGTCGAGCAAGACCTGGGCCTTACTCGAGACCCTACTTCGCTTCCGAGGTCAAGCCTTCTGTGTACATATCGGTGATGGACTTCGAGGCGGCGGAGATGTCTGGTTCGTCGAACTTCTTGTTGTGCGCGGGACCGAAGTGGATTCGCAAGCACACCAACGGACGCAGTCAGCTAGAGCCACTAAAGCCAAAGGAGAGTTTCACGATCAAGGACTCCGAGGCAAGCTTTTGTCAGAGGGACCGATGCATGTATATCGCCAAGGCCAAGGTTTCCTTTGGACAAGTGGAGTATGCCAAGTTGGAGGGCAGCGAGAAGGAAGCCTTCAGACAGAGCCGATACAAGGAGTTTGAGTCATTGCTGACCAATAAAGCGATCAAGGTGTTGACCATTGCCGAGTCCGAGAAGTTCCTCAAGGACCACCCGGACCATGTTCTCAAATCTCGGTTCGTGGACAGATATAAACCACATGAGATTAAGGCGGAGGCTCTGGAGGCAGCCAAAGAGGCGGCGATCTCCGAAGGCCGACTGGAACCTTTGGAAATGACTGCTGACAGGACCCAGCCAAAGTCGCGATGGTGTGTCGTGGGCTGGTCCGACCCTCATGTTCATCAGATTGAACGTTCGGCTCCAACCCCGTCGAGTGCAGCTGTCAACATGGTCTTGCAGTTGAATGCGAGTCGGCGATGGACGACCTATGTTCGTGACGTAAAGACAGCGTTCTTACAATCGAGACCTACGAGCCGCACAGTGCCAATTGCTTGTCGACAACCAGATGACGGTGGACTGCCAGGGCTGGATCCACGCCAGCTCATTCTTCTTCTCACTGAAATTTATGGGTTGGTCTCAGGCCCTGCATGGTGGCGATCCAGTCTGCTACAACACACCGGACGGTTAGGCTACAAGGTGTGTCCGTACGAGCCGTGTGTACTGGTTCTGCCTTCCGATATGCCTCAGAGTTATACTCAAGGCATCATGGTTGTCGAAGTCGATGACATTGTGGAAGGCGGGGATGAACGACACCGTGCTGTTCTTCAACAACTGGAGGGCATCATCAAGTTCGGCAAAGTGGTCAACTTGCAGTCCCAGGAGACGACTTACGCGGGCAAGTCGCTGAAACAGCTGCAGGACTTCTCGTTCACCCTCCACATGGACGAGTACATCTACACGAGGTTGTCCCCGATTACCATGAGCAGGAGGGTCTTGAAGAAAGACGCGGCGCAGGTGAAGCTCGATGAGATGGAGAAATCTCAGCTGAGAGGGGTCCTGGCCTCTTTCATCTGGGTTGGCCGAGAGGCTCGCCCCGATGCTACGGCAGCAAGTTCCGTGCTCTCTTCCACGTTTCCAGAACCGACTGTGGAAGTCATCTACCAGGCCAACGAGGTCGTGAGGCAGCTGAAACAGCACCCAGTGCGCATCAAGATCCATGCGATTCCCGAGTCTCAGGTGAGACATGTTCTCATCGCCGATGCGGCCTTCGACACGTCCGGGAAGGAGAAGTCTCAACACGGCTATTTGCTGGGCTTCACCAATGAGAAGCTCAACCTGGGCAAGTCGGCGCCAATCAGCCTCATGAAGTGGCAATCGCGACGATTGCGACGCAAGGCTCAGTTGTCGATGTTGTGCGAGGCCATTTCGCTATCGGCAGCTACCGGGAGCCTGGAGAAGCAAGACGCGCTCTGGGACGCCATGCGGTTCTCGGACTTCCAGCCTCGATTACGACAACGCAACGAGGAGATTGCTCTGGAACTACAAAGGAAAAGCACAGTCATCTCCCAGGACTCCAACCTTTTTCGGGATCCTCACAGCGTCGTGATCATCGACGCTAAGTCCCTATATGATTCGCTGTTGAACAACACCCCCGGCGAGTGCGAGAGGTCTAACTTGGAGGCCGAGGTGATCCGCGAAAGCTTCACCATTTGCCGAGGTCGAGTACGTTGGGTGCCGCACAACTACAATCCGTCTGACGCCTTGACAAAATATCCTGGCGCCCACTTGGAACCTTTAGTGAAGTTGCTGAAAACGGCAAGTTTCCAGGTCACTGATGAACAGGAAACCCTTGACCAAGGACGTCAGGGTGTGCATCGGATGAAGTCCCAGAGCTGGGAAGAGGCTTCAGGAAATTTTCATCTTCAGGGGGCTGTTGAACCAAGTTCGCATTTCCGGATGTTTCCTGAAGTCCTCTTGAGTGAGCATTAGTGAACCTGTGGCCGTGATCTCTCGAAGGCCTTGAGCTTGCCCGGCACGTGTGTAGAAAAGATCCTCTGATGGATGCGCATCTGTGATTGAGCTGAGTTTGTGGAATCCAAGATCTTGCTGTCACTCAACAAGCTAGCCAAGGATAAAGCAGAGGAGCAAGAACATTATCAAAAAGGACAAGCCCACACAACCACGCAACAAGCTCAAATTGATAAATCGAGGACTCGTGCATTGCAGACAGAGAAAGAAGCATCGACAGAGAAAGAAGCATCGACACCGACAGAGCACAGATAACTTGACTGGATGATTCTGCGTGGCAGTGGCAGGTCAGTTGCCTGGCCGTAACAACCAGCTCATAAGCAAATAATCCATCCCTTTGGCCGCCTTCAGAATGAATAGAGGCGAGGTTAGCATAAAAGAAGTAGTAGCATGAAGATATGACAGGTTCAGCTTTCCAAACAACAGTCCAGTGTTGCAGAGAAGAAGTCCGGCATAAAAACAGGAATCCCCGGTCAGCACATGAAAGGAGGGGCTGGCACTGGACAAATCGCTGTCCTTTCATGTGTCCGTGCGCGTGTATGTGTGTGCGCACAGCAAAGCGCTGATGCAGGTGCCCTGCCATCTGCAGTGTCTTGCATCTTGCCTGTCATCCTTCCGGCTGTGCGGGGGCTTCGCAGCAGCATTGATGTGGCTGGGCAAAGAACAGACCATGGCAGTGATTCTGCTTTCTCCAGCGGAATGCTTCTCGTCTAGTGGTGTGGGCATCTTGGGGGTGGGTGGGAGTATCAGTCGACGAGAAATCGCTATAGCATTCGCAAGTGTTCACAAGCATGCGCAAGAGTTCACAGACGTTCGCCAGAGTGTGCAAGTCTTCACAACACTTGCGCGAGACTCGCAAAGGTCCTGCGAGTCAACAAAGGCAAAATTCCGGTCAAGGCATGTCCAGGAGTGTCGTCGTGTGTCATGGAACTAAGGCACTCCAGCCGCTTGCACGTTTAAGGTTCTGTCATGTTGGCTCTCCCTGCGAGCACAAGAAAACACAAGACAAGACGGTACACCACGAGAAGTGAGGAAGAAGAAGACGACACGAACTTCGTACTGGGAACGTAGGTCCTGGGAAAAAGTCGTTTCCGGCTTACGGAGCAGTTCGGTTTTGTGGCATCATATCAGGCGATCCAGCGGGTGAGGTCTTTGATTTCGGTGGACTGTTTGTAGAAGTGATCAAGACTCAGGTGTTTGCCGTGGCAAGCATCTCAACCCTGGCATGGAAGAAAGGCGTGGTGAATCCAACTCTGGCATGTGCAGACAGAAAAGGCCACTCGATTTGTGCAGCACCACTTCTTGCTGTTCTGTGCAGGACAGAGCCTCGCAGCCGGTCTGAATGCACGCCGGCTCGAGCCGGTGTCAGAAGTATGTCATTGAGTCCCTTAGGCCCTTTTTCGAGAGGCTACAGGAGTTGGGCGTGTGCTCAGGAAAAGGAGCGTGCGAACAGCCAGAAGGCCTAGGGACTGCCTGAGATGCCCCTCCTTGGGCTCAGGTTCCCCGATGATGGAGAGCCAGTTTACCCAGGCACCGCCGAACAAGGCTCTGTGTCTCAAAATCGGGTTTAGTTGAGTTACCCTCATAAGCTGTCGTCTGCCTGATGAATCATGAGCTGCATCAGGCCATGCAAATCAAGAGTCCCACGCCGCGCACTTAGCCATGCAAGCTCCTGACGCCCCAGATGGCCAGGCTCAGCTTGTCGGTTGACCTCTTCGCCTTGTTTTTTGTTCAACTAGTTGCTCCGAGTGGCTATGAAGTATCCTTCAATAAAAGACGGTTCAGGACGGGTGAAGTGCTGAACCCGGAGACGCTGAAGCGCCAGACATCGCAATCAAGCGCACATCTCAGGAGAGGATAATGCTCGAAGATCTTCCTCTCTAAGCCTGCTTTCTTCGTGTTTCATGCGGCTTCCAGGTTTCATCTCATAACATGGTGTTTCAGGGTTCCTTCGAGATGATCTTTGACATGGGGTCTTCTGAGTGGCTCGTGCAGCCTTGCCTTGGCAATCCTCAATGTATCCCGGTCCAGGACAAGAGGGGTGGAACACGGAGCTTGATGTGCTCTTGCGAATGAACTTCCTGCGTTTCCTGCTTTTGCAAGGTGAACAAAACCCTTCTCCCGAAGGCTGGCTGCTCTACACCTTCTGTGTTGTGACTTGAGAGCAGCTGCGTGGCAGGAGATGGCTCAGATGTGCAGGATGCAACGAAGGATGCGACAGCGGCCAAGGATTGCCTCTCAGTGAGGACAAAGTGTATGGCAGCGGCAATGACACCCTGCGCTGAAGCAGCTCGCGGAGGGAAATCGTGCTGTGGCGTGCAGCTTTAGGCATATTCTCTTTCCAGTGCAGTCGAGGTGAAGGCGTTTGATGCACGAGCTCGTGCAGAATTCAGAGCTACCGCAGCACTGGCTTCGAGTCGATTGCTGTCGCCTCGGACGTCTCAGATGCCAAGTAGTCCTAGAAGGAAAAGTTGTAGTCCAAACCAAAGGCGCTCCATGAAGCTTCGCCCGGACCACTCGACCTTCAGCGCTTTAAACGTCGGGCGCTTGTCGGTTTCGTGCTTCTCGGCTCCGTGTTGGTCACACCTAAGGTGGACACCCTGCCTAGCAAGCCAAAGAGCTCGCCCTTGGCTTCCACTTGCGAAGGCTTCTCTGCGACTTTTGTGCATGTGTCTTCTTGTCCTCAGCCCTCGGCGCCACACAAGTGACATGCGTAAGGGTAGAAGTTGTGTACTACTTCAGCTCGGGCCGCATACTCGGCCATTTCTTGCTCTCAGCGACTCGGCACTCGCAGCGGTCTGAGATCCTTACGAGGCCGGGGCTGAACTGAGCAGTCTGAGCAGATAAAAAAAATTGCATGTCCGGTTTCTTCTTCTCTCGGAGCGATTCTCACGGTGACAGGAGTTTTCTTAGCAACCATGGCCGACGAGGACTGGATGACTCCAGCAGTAGCGCAGACTTAGTGGGACTTCTCCTTCGGTGCAGAGATCGCTGAATACCCCTACTTCGTGTCCTTTCTACGACAAGTCCCTTGCATGCATGCTGCATGCACGCACTCATGCGCCCCTATCATGTGTGTCACCTGTGTGCACGTGCGGACAGTTTGCCTTCGAGAAACCACTCCAGCGACAACAAAAAGCTTCTTGAGGGTGCATGGTAACCAAAGGTTGCGACGTGAAGTCTCTGTTTCCAGCACCTCGAATGCCTCTCAAATCCAACAAGCAGCCAAACATGGCCATGTTGATGGCGGGGAGTGGGGAGGGCCCTGCATCTATCGGGATGTCACACAAAACGGCCTGGCTTCAATCCCTTTCAGTCTGGGCCGCAGGGTATTTGTGATCGGGAACAGAGAATCGAGGATCTAGACCTTTCTGTGCTTCGCTATCTTTTTCATAGCAGATGAGGGCAGAACGGCAAAGCTCACAGGATCTGCCCGACTTCGACGAGGAGGAGAACAAGAAAGAGGAGGAGAAGGCCGACGGAACATCAGACAGTTCAGGTGGACTGCGTACTTCACAGCGACGTGGCCGTGTTTTGTGTTTCATGACAACCACATCTGGCGACCGTCTTGGACGCAGCCTGAATAGAGATGTCGCTTCACACTCATGTGATCCAGATCCTGTCCAGGCTTGCAGGCTCTTCGACTAGACCATACTAGACCGAAGCTTCGAAGGGCTCGCATGCTCCGGCACCCTGAGCAGGCGAATGGAGATGCCAAAAAGGCTTCGGCGGCTGGAATGCACGCGCGGGGGTTCTCAGCATTCCGTGATCGGTACTGCTCCACCAGCAGAGCTGCAAGAAATCGAGGTCCGGCTTCAAGGATTTCCTGCTGAAACCGGAGCTCCTCCGCGCCATCGTCGACTGCGGCTTCGAACATCCCTCGGAGGCTTAAAGACTCGAAGATCGCTGAACAACTCGAGAGCGCATTGTAGCCTCGTGCCAGGTTCAGCACGAGTGCATCCCTCAGGCCGGCGGCACTCATTGTCTTGCGTGTTCCGGTATCCGACTGATAGCTTTCTGCTCCAGAGAGCATCAAGCTTCACACAGGGCCGTGTGCCAGTCCCAACATAGAAGTTGGTAGCGCAGCAGCCCATATGCAAAGATAAGCAAGCTTAGTTCCAACTCAATGATGGGTGCTTCTGTGCCGGGTCCTTGTGGTCGTCTGAAGTGGGCGATGCTCTCTGCACTCCTTGCGGGAGTCGTCCTTGAGATTTGGATGCTGGCTAAACCGCGTTCTGCAGCAGATGTCACGGAAGTAGCCACGGCTCATCTGAAGGTCCTCTTGGTGAGAACTGTCGGTCAGTCAGAGTGGCGATCTGTGCAAGCCGACATCAGGTCCTTGGCGAGGAAGTCACTGTCTATCCACAGTGCCAACACGTCGCATTGCTTCGATTCAACTTCGCGGCCTCAGACTCTCGAGGGCTTTTCAACTGAGCTACCGCCAGATCTCTGGCCGACGCATCTTCTTTGCCGCGATTCTGTGAAGAAACTGGCTGTCGAGCTGCATGTGCTGCTCATCGTCTACGACATTTACGTTACGGACACAGTCTTGTCGTATTTGCAACGGGCTGTGAAGGAACTGAATGTGACAGTGGTGCGTTCAATTGGGAGCCGCAAGCTAGGAGCATGGTTTAAGCATTTGACGCCATCGACTGTGTCCCACTACGACTACATATGGTTGGCAGATGGCGATGTGAAAGTGTCTGCCATTAACTGGTTCTCTTTCTGGGCTCACATGCTGTACTTTAAGCCTCTGATTGCACAGCCCAGTATTATCGGACACCTCGAGAAATTCCAAGAACTCCCGAGAGGCAGTGATCACCCTATTCTCAATCTCCCCTTGGACAAGCGCGCCAATGTCTGGAACACGGATGTGACACTCATTGCGGCAGAAGTTGGCGTAGTCGAGATGATGGCGGCGGTCCTTACTGCAGAAACATGGCTTGCCGTGAGGAATGATCTTGCTGCAAACAGCAAGGTCATGGATCTGATTGCCAAAGGAGCCACATGGTGCATAGACACGAAATGGTGTGAGGTGGCTCAAGCTTTGCGTGGAAGCGGCATTCGACAAGCGGATGTCGCCGTTGGTGCTGAGGCCAAGGAGTTATACCGTGACAGAAACTACTCGTACGGCCCTGGCCCGGGGGATCGAAGATGGAGAGACCTCGAGCCTCTTCCAGCCTGTGTGGTTTTCTATCAGACGCCAGTTATCCACCAAAACCGGCAAACTCTGGACAAGTCAGGGTTCACTCACATCAACAAGGAGCTGTGCTCCGAACTCCCATCTGGAGTGCCTAATATTGCCAGGCGTGCCTTTCGGGCGTTTTATCAATCTGATTTTGAGGTGTCGTGAATGGTATAGTCAAGTCATGTCAAGTCCAGGCAGATGTGGCTCGCGGTGCTACGAGTGTGGCTCCCGCCGATGTTCTATCGGTGGCCGCAGGTACAAGAGGTGCAGAGTGTAGAAGGAGTGGAGGGACGAGCTGCATCACCTGAAGTGGGCCTGAAGGCAGCGGAAGAGGAAGGGAGATGCACTGTCCCGAAGCGTGGGGGGCCCGCCTTGTGCTGGCACCTGCTGGGCGCATCTGCTGGTCACCATGGAAGTCTAGGACCGACGGATGATTTTTGAGATCTTGGTGACCGCAAGCGTGTCTCTCCCACGGGTTCCGCTGAGAACGTTGCAGCTTGCGTTTCGAGCAAGCGGGTAAGAGCCGGGCGTGCCGCCGGTGAAGCATAGTGGCATAGTTGCCCACCAAGAGCAACCAGACGGAATCAAAATGCTTGAGCCATAAACGACATGTCGTCAACACAATTAATCACATAGAATGCGGAATGCAGCCTCTGCATTATTCAAGCGAGATCGAGCATGAGCATTGAGGGCCTCTTTGCTTACGGTCCGAGAATGGGCTTCTGCCTCTCCTTGTTTGCGGGGGATGAAGTCTGATGCAAACCCTGTTGAGTTTTGCCGAATTGTAGGCCATTCTGGGTACGGATGTCCTGTGTCAAGCCAAGCAACTGGGCTGCAATCTTCTCCGGCGGAGTTCAGCTTTTTAGTTGCTTGCGATGCTCAAAAGAGGTCTGGCATGGGCAAGACAGCGGTCTTCGTCCTCGCTTGCTTGCAGCAGATCGACTCTTCGGAGAAGGCAGCGCTTTCGGCATTTCGCCCAACCGGCGGGGGCGGCGGTGGGGGCTGGGGCCTCGTCAGGCTGTCAGGACCCTGGTCGTTTGCCACACCCGAGAGTTGGCGTACCAGGCCAGTCACATCGGTTCTATCGGAGCCTGCCTCTTTGTCAGAGTGAATTCTCTCCCCGGGCCAGATCAAGCAAGAGTTTGAGCGCTTCTCCAAGTACTTCCCGGTCAGATCCCTTGCAATTTTGGCCTCTGGCGCCATTGGGCTGAGAACGTATGCAAGTGGAAGAGTCGGAACTGAAGGCCGTCAAGTCAGCGGTGGTTTACGGAGGGACGCCTATGTCCACCGACAAAGACATGCTGAAGGCTGGCTGGCACTGGGTCGCAGCTTGAAAAATCAGTGAGATGCAGCAGGACTCTTGCCCGCACATCCTCATCGGTACGCCCGGACGTGTGCTCGCCCTTGTTAGGGAGAAGGCCATCACAACTTTGAGCTTGAGTGTTGAGCACGTGCGTGGCCAAGTTTGTGCCGAAGCTTTCTTGTCTGCAGGACCTCAAGTTGGACAAGTTGCAGCACTTTGTGCTTGACGAGTGTGACAAGTGTCTGGATAAGGTGGACATGCGCAAGGACCGTGCTCAGTCCGCGGTGGCCTCTTTATATCCTCAAGGTAGTCATGAGACATTGGCAGGATGTCCAGCAAATCTTCATGGATTCGCCCAAGAAGAAGCAGGTCTGCAACTCGAGAAAGTCTCTTCGCATTGGTGCTGTTGGTCTTATGGTCAGCTCGCATCAGATGGCTCTGCAGCCAGGTGATGATGTTCAGCGCAACCATGAGTGCAGAGACGCGGGCATTGTGCAAGAAGTCGCACAGCTTAACGAGGGAGGGCGTATGATGAGCTAGTTTTGTGAAATCCTGGAGGGCATGTGAACCCACGGGGACTTAATGTGGCGGATCCTGAGGTCTGATGCTTTCTGACATGTTGTGGCTTTGCTGTATGGGCATCCTCACCTCGGCCCTAGGTTCATGACGGACCCGCACGAGATTCGTGTCGACGAAGAGTCCAAGCTGACACTGCATGGACTGCTGCAATACTACGTGCCCAGCCTTATGTCCTGAGGGCAGGGTTGACATCAGGTTGTGTTGCTCGTGCGCTCAGGTGAAGCTCACAGAGAAGGAGAAGAACAGGAAACTGAATGACTTGCTGGATGCACTGGAGTTCAACCAGGTCATTGGGGGCCTCGCTTTGTCATGATGCTGTGCTGGTTTCCAGCTGATCTCAGCGCTCCAGCACAAGTGAAAGGTGGTGATCTTCGTGAAGTCTGTGCAGAGAGCCATCGCTTTGGATAAGCTGCTGGCCGGGAGCCTTCTTGCTCTTGGCAGTGCCTCCAGCAAGGGTTGCTTCTGTTAGGTCGAATGCAACTTCCCATCGATCTCCATTCACTCCGGCCTTCAGCAGGATGAGCGAATCGCGAGGCCGCTCTCCTGCTCGATCTGTGTCAAGCGCTTTGCTGGTGCTTGTATGCACAGCCCCCGCTTCTCGTGATCTGTGTAGCTCTCACGCGCCGCCTGGTTACCCTGACACATGGCCCCTGAACCTGCAGTTGGTCCGTGCTCGATTCTTAACCGCTCTATAAGTTTTGCCCCATGTTGTTGGTATGGCGTTCTTATGTCATTGTATTACATGACATGTCGTTTCCATTTATTATTCGGCTATAACTGAATTCACATGCAGGTATGTCAGTGGTCAAGCTAAACAGAAAGAATAAACAGGTACACGGACTCAGACGAACAACACACATGTGTACTTTGAATGAATACATGATTGTGTGCGAACGAACCAAGAAGGAGCGAGTGAGCACATGGAGGAACGAACGACTGAACGCCCGACCGACCGACCGAAGGAAGGAAGGAACGAAAAAACGAATCAAGGATTGAACAGTTAATATTATATGCAGTGAGTTGGGTTGTATTGCATCGTAGGGTCTCGTCTTGCATCGCATTGCATCATATGACGCTGCACGGCCTTGCATTGCACGTTGCACTGTGCTGTTGTTGGGTGTACTGGACTGTACTGGATTGTTATATTGTAAGGTGTTGACTTGCATTGCAGTGCCTGACATTGCATTGCATGGCATGGCACTGCATTGCATCAGGTATGCAAGCAATTCGTGTGTGTATGTGCGCGTTTTTCCTGCAAGCGTATGTTTGCTTGTCCCTCCACTGCGCTGCCTGCTTCACAGCCTGTTGATGTGGATGACAAGGCAGTGCAGCTTGCTTATCGAGCTGGAAGGTACAAGCAGTTCAAGGAGTTTCAGAAGCGGATCCTGGTTGCGACAGATCTCTTTGGTCGTGGCATCGACATTGAGAGAGACGCTCGTCTCCATCAGTTGTCTGGTGACTCCATTTACTCTACTTGTCTGAGTGCACCCAGACGAGCATCGGCGATGGCTTCCGTCCAAGCAGCCGAGGTCAACATTGTTATCAACTATGACATGCCCGATGAGAGCGACTCCTACTTGTAGCCTGGCTGTTGAATGCACACCATCATGCTGGGCTTGCTCGGGTCGCTGTGTTGCCGTTGGCGATTACACATTGCGATTTGCCTCTTCCCTTCCTTGCAGGCACCGGGTGGGCCGCGCAGGACGTTTCGGGACAAAGGCCGAAACTGGCCGACAGTATATGAGCTTGTTGGCCTTGTGGACTGACCGTCCTTTCTGCACCACTTAGACACTAGCAGATAGAGGACGTGAGTGCGGATAGTCTTTGAAGTTGGCAGGGCCTGGCTCTGACCTTCGTAGCAACAGACGAGGACCAGGAGGCATTTTTCTGTGACGAGAGAACCGGCCTGCTCCGTCTGCTCTCTCTGTGGTCAGGTGTTGAAGAAGGTCCAGGAGCGGTTCGAGGCGGGTCTACGACTAGGACCAGTCTAGCCAAGAGTGCCACGTTGTCCCGTGTTCACTCTGTGGCTGGTCTGAGGTCAACATCGGCGAAATGCCTGGGCAGATTGACGATGGCTCAGTGTGCAGTTCTGCCTGGCACGACTGACTAGGATCTAGAAGACTTCAGTTTTACATCTTTTTTTCATCTTGGGCAACCTGGCTCGGAGCCCCTTCGTCGTGACCCTGCATGAGGTGATGGCGATCATCCCTTTCCCTTAGGAACAGCCTGAAGCTCTTCTCCGTGGCTTCAAGTCCCCAATCTTGAAAGGCGAAGAAAAGCTGCGTTTTGGACTTTCTTGAAGCTAGAGAGAGTGCTCTGGCAATCCTCCGCTCCGAGGACACGACTTCCTACCTCAACGCCTGAGAGCACCGGCCGAGCCGCAGCGGGCCTCGTTTTGACGTGCCAGGATGCATCAAAGCATGGGACCATCCCCAGGGTTTGAAGACTGTTCTGTTTTGCCCATGCTTCAGTTTTACAGTTTACTGCATGCTGCACTGTTTAAGAGAAACTGCCAAGTCGGAGAACCCTGGCCAGTAATGTGAGGCTCAGATGGCACGGAGTCTCCTTTTGTGTACTCTGGGAGCAGTCCCGTCGTGACTAGTTACCTAGTTCAGCTTGCCCAGAAAGCTGATCTTGAATTGATAAACTTAGGAAATGATTGATCCGTTCGGAGAAGCTCTCTTATGTAGCGAACAGACACAGCACAAGAGCTAGAGAACTAGCACTTAAACGCTTATCAACAAGCTCGTCTCCCTTTGACTGGGAGCCTGGCGCTGACATGTGAACGTGCCCGGCAGACAGTTTGGGGTGGAGAAATGGTTGATTACAGGCTGCAGGGATCAATTTGAGCATTGCTGATCTAGAGAAGTCTAAGCAAGCGATAGTGTCTGTGTTTCCAGGCATACCATATTCGCTGGTTGTCGTTTGCCACACGTCACATGCTGACAGTTCCGCCTTTCTTGCACACCTGAAGTCAATGTCGTCACAGGTGGAAACATCCTCTTGCGCAAGGCCCTCAGAAGGATGAGTGCCCGCCAGCTCCACAGCGCGGCCTCTGGCCGTGGCAAAGTGTTGAGGCCCTTGCCGGCCCATAAAGGAAAAGCCAACGAGCCGCATCTCCCGGCCTTTGCCAGAGGTTGGGACCTTTTTTTGGGACAGGCGTCTTTGGCCCAAATTGGAGATTGGGGGTCGCTGTCAGGTGCCTGGCTTCCCCTTCGACAAAGTCCCGGCCTCCACTGCCCAGATGCTTGCGGTCGGGGGGCTGAGTGATGCAATTTCTGGGAGCGGGAGGAAAAGCAAGCCTTCGGCAGGTTTTGTCTCTAGAGCCTGGACTTGGAAAGGTGGGGGCAGTGAGAGACAGAAGTCCTGTCAAAAACTTCCTGATCAGTCAGTGCGTTGGGTGTCAGGCATCCAAGTCGAGCAAGTCAGCAGCAAAGGCGAAGAGCCAGCTGCGATACCGGATCTGCAGTGCATCCTTCGGCGGACAGGTGCGAAGTGCGGCTCCTGCTCCGCCCAAGCCGTGGCAGTCGGAGGCTGCCAAGAAGGTGGGGATCTACTGTCGGCCCAGTCGCTTCCAAATCCCCCTTCCGTTGCAAAGGCGAGGGAAGTCAGCCAAGCAAGCCAAGCGAGCCAAGCGAGCAAGCCGTCCAACTCCCAGTGACTGCTTTGGCCTTCGCTTTTTCGGCTTCGTCTCCAGCTTTTGGCCTCGCTCAGGTCCGCCCCCGCCCCCGAAACCGGCCCCCTGCCTGTTCTCGCCCTTTGTCCGAGGCCCTCAAGTTCTGGCGAGGCCAAGCCTAAGCAGGCCGGAGCAGCCTCGCATGGCGCGACTCCTCTTTTTGGCCGAAGTCCTTTTGTGAGGATGAGGAAGCCGACGCACGCACACCCCAGACAGATCTCAAGCCCTGATCTCGGGACGAACGGGCAAAACTGGAAAGCGCTGGCCGGAGCTCCTTCAGGAAAGCCAGCGACGAGGATGGCAAGGTTTGGCCCTCACGTCTCATGTTGGACTGTTCCACCTTCACGTAGGCCTTCTTAGCATCACTGCCCCCTTTGGCAGTGGATTAATCTGATTGGATGTGTATGGGAAACTGTGCATACTGCGACATTCAAGTTGTGCCCAGGCTCAGTCCAAACGATCCTTGTCTCCGGCTGAACGTTCCACATCGGCAGCGTCGCAGGAGTGCCGACATTGTTAGGATGAGAATGTCTAATAATAGCTTAATTGACAGCGTCGGGCAGAGAGATAGTTAAGCTTCACTGTCTTCGTATTTGCCCCTACTTCACTCAATTTCGCTCACAAGATCTCAGAAGTAAACTCGCGAAACCTCGCACAGGAAGGACCACCAGTGTCCCAGAAAACACGCCAGGGACTGAGATGGATCTTGAGTACCGCTGTTGAAGTGTGCAGTCCAGTTCCTGGGCTTTTTGCGAGGCTGGGCAGATGTAGCATCTGATGACGAGGAATGCCCTTGGCAGACTCAGATGCTCGCCTTAACATAACGCAGAAGCTCCGCAGAAGCTTGCGCAAGCGCTCTTTTTGCAGACGCTGCGATTATCTGCGATTTCGCACGGTCTCAGGGCCAAGTCGAGCGAGGAGGAGATCACGCAGGATAGCAGACAGATCTCCGCAGCAGAGGAGACTCCTCAGGACCCTGTGAACGTGAACCCCTCCCAGAAGTTCCCAAGGTCTTTTAGGCTAGTTGACCAACATGGCCGTGCAGGAAAGGAGCTTTGCGTCCCCCGGGAGTTTCTCCAAGACTCGTTGGGGCCTAATGGGCCCAGCTTTTCCGAGCCTCGATTCAGTGGCTGCAAGTACTGCGCTGCTCGAGGTTGGGCAGATGTGGACTCGGACGATGACCAGCTGTTACCGAAGCTTGGCTTCTGCGAGGGCCCCTTGGAGAGTCGGCGGAGAGTCGGCAGAGCTAAGGAGCGGGGAGGAAGACGAGTCAAGCAACTCCCCAGCTGAGGCCTTTGAGCGGCCGCTAGAGTCTAGGCCAAATGTGGCCAACTTTGGGGGCCAGGTCCGAGGAAGCACGGCGAGGACGCGAGGCGACGCGAGGTGTGAGCCTGTGGGCCAATGGAGTCGGAGCAACGCTTGGCTTCTTCTCTTCGCTCTTCAGGTGCGGTGAGGCTTCCAAGAAGAAGGCTGAGGCGAGGGCTGATAGGGCTGCGGGTTGAGGGCCCTCCTGCTAACAGCTCGCACATGCTCGCACATGCTCGCAGAGTCTCGCAGAGGACCGGAAGGACGCAGTAAAGGCAGAAGCGAGCTCCAAGGACAAGTGTGGTCCTCGGAGCCGCCTCGCTTCTGGTTACTGTAGCGCCGTAGCGTGTCAACCCGCGCAGTCTGCCTTTCCTCAGGAAGTCTGCAAGCGACGAGGAGGACGTTAAGGCAGACTTGACCGTCACCTCGTATAGTGAGGGTCGAGGTTTTGTGCCAATGAGCGCTTGATTCTGACTTGCAGTGGCTCAAAGAAGCCCCCAAAGAGGCGCGTGGAGCCTGTGGAGCGATGAGCCTAAGGTCTAAGATGGGCGAATGAAGGCGATTCCCGCACTGTTTGGGCGAGAGTGATCTGCCTCTGAGATGGGATGCAACGCTTCCCGGGCACGCGCTGCCCATCCGGCTTTGCCTTGCTTAAAGGAGGCCGAATCGCGATGGATGCAGAACTTTGTGGCTGACTTCAGTCAGCGGGACACGGTGATCAAGCATGACGGCCGTGACGTGACTATCCACTCGGTTGAGGTTTTGGACCCAGGCTCGGACGCAGCCCTGAAGCCACCACTTGTATTTCTTCCCGGATATGGTACCGGGGCAGCGATCTTCGCACGATGCTGGTCACAACTCCTACTCCGGGAAAGGCTTCCGCTGATCGCTGTGGATGTGTTAGGTTCGTTTCTGTCGAGCCACCCGACATGGACTCCTGGCACTGACGTCGAGAAGGCCGAAGCGTGGTTCGTTGAGAGCTTGGAGGCATGGCGGAGAGAGAGACAGATCACACAATTGGACCTACTTGGCCATAGCATCGGTGGCAATATCGCTGCAGCCTATGCGGAGTCCTACCCCGAAAGCGTGAGGAGCCTTATTCTCGTATCCCCGGCCGGTATGGTCGGCGAGCCGGAGGACTACCAGACAAAGCTTCGATCGGCGTCGCGCCGAATTCGTCTCGTTATGTCACTTTGGCGCCGGGGCTGGACTCCGTTTACAGCCGTACGTCTCCTCCCAGAGAGCTACGCACGCAGGATATGTCTCTGGAATGCCAGACGCTGGAGTGGACATCGTCCGCGTGATGATGTCGACGATCCGGCAGTCACTGCACTCGCAGATTACATCTATCACGGATGGCGAGAGGGGCCGGCCAGCGCGGATGTGGCCATAGCTGCTCTTCTACACCCTGGGGCATGGGGCAAGAAGCCACTTGGTGCCAGACTGCCCAAAGTATCGGTCTCACGGCTGGAAATCATTTACGGAACAAGGGACTGGATGGACATGCGACATGGGAATCAGGTGGCTGAGGCCTGTGCAGAGCAACGAACTTCGCAGGCACAGGCACCAATGGTGTGTGTACAAGTCGTGGAAGGTGCAGGGCATTATGCGCACTTGGAGAACGTCGACGGCTTTGTGGAGGCCCTTGCCTGTGCTCTCAAGCCACGTTCGGAAGGTTGCGTTACTGCACCGTTGCCCGACGGATATGAAGAGCAGTTCACAGGACCCCGCATTCCTGCGTGGCGCAGCTGGGAGGGGTACAGTTTCGGCCGCTGATACTCGCCGTGTCCGAGTAGCGGGCCACGGTTGCACCTTGCCCAAGCTGAGCTGCGAGAAAAGCTGGTTGGGCTTTGTGCTGTGGTAGATTGTGATAGATTTCGTGGTTTTGGGGGATGCTGATACTCAGCTAGGCACTGTAGCCCACAGGAGATTCTTGCTCCCTTGCCTCACACACTGTCGCAGTTGCCGAACGAGGAGCAGGTGTCGCCGAAGACACGCTGCAGCCCCAGTTGTTTTAAGATGTTGAGCGTTCCGAACATTGAGCTGTGTCTTCTCCCGCCCTCGCCAACCCTCCCCTCCCCTGCATTCCTCCCTTTCCGTGGGTTGAACGTAGCAAGCAGGGAGCGGTTCCAAGGGTCATTCGTTGCAGCGGCCCGGTCTTGTTGCAGTTAGCTGTCTGCTTGGCTTCACGAGCAGCTCCCGTATGGATGCGGGCAAGTGCTACCCAGCACCGAAGTTCTGACAGAATCTTCGAAGCAGGTGGAGCCTTGCTGATGCTAGTTGGCGTTTCGGCGGTAGAGGAAATGGTACTGCAGGAGAAAATGACAGATCTCAGCAGCTATGAATGCAAGGTTGGGCAGATGTTCAGTCCGACGACGATCAACTTCTTCCGCGTCTTTTCTGCATGTTCGAGAGCCGTATCTTGCCGCAGGCTTCGCATCGGGTTTGGCCGGACGTGCAGCTCCTGAACAACCAAGGAGCGCAGACGACGATACCGACAAGGATGACGCCTCGGAAGAAGCCGGCGAGTGGCAAGAGGTTGCCTACTGCTTTGCAGCCGCTGCAAGTTGTCAACCGTCACTATCATCTGAAAGCAGTGCCCTCTCTTGGACGGAACATGCTCTGCGAAGCATGCTCTGCCATAGCTCCAGTTACTGATGCTTTCTTTTCGTCCGGTACCATCGTGTTGCACAGTTCTCGAGTGACAGATTCGCTACACGCGCCGCTACTGAAGCTACTCCTACTGCTGCTGCTGCTGCTGCTACTAGTACTACTACACTTCGACAACGACTGCTACTGCGATGACCACTGCTACTCTCCTACTACTACGACCAGCACCACAACAACCACAACAACAGCTGCTAGTCCTACTGCTGCTGCTGCTGCCACTGCTACTGCTTCTGCTTTTTCCTCTAATGCTAGTGCTACGGCTACTGCTCCTGCTGCTGCTGCTGCTGCTGCTACTGCAACTGCAAGTGCTGCGACTACTACAGCAGAAGCCAGAAAGTTGGAACATCATTATCCTCATGCCCTTAAGGTAAAGTATAAGGGATCCTAGCACTAATCCTCCTAAAGTCATGTTCCAACTTTCTGGCTTCTACAATACTACAACAACAACTACTACTACTACTACTACCACTACCACTACCACTACTACTACTACTACTACTACTACTACTACTACTACTACTACTACTACTACTACTACTACTACTACTACTACTACTACTACTACTACTACTACTACTACTACTACTACTACTACTACTACTACTACTACTACTACTGCTACTGCTACTGCTACTGCTACTGCTACTGCTACTGCTAGTGCTACTGCTACTGCTACTGCTACTGCTACTGCTACTACTGCTGCTACTGCTGCTGCTACTGGTGCTACTGCTGCTACTGCTGCTACTGCTGCTACTGCTGCTCCTGCTGCTACTGCTGCTACTGCTGCTACTGCTGCTATTGCTGCTACTGCTGCTACTGCTGCTACTGCTGCTACTGCTGCTACTGCTGCTACTGCTGCTACTGCTGCTACTACTGCTACTGCTACTGCTACTGCTACTGCTACTGCTACTGCTACTGCTACGCTGCTACTGCTACTCCTCCTCCTGGGGCGGGTCCCCTGCCAGGTCAAAAGACAGACTAAGCCAAAGGTGCCAAAGGCCCTCAAGCCTGAGGGACGCAGGTGCGATGTCCAAGAATCCTTACCAGAGCCGTACCGAAACCCTACACTTGCGCCAACCCTGTGTCGCAGGCACCATGAGGAGCGCCCTCGCGAGCGCCGCGACGACCGTCGGCGGAAGGACTGTCCGCTTCCTTAGCTTCACAGCTGAGGGTGTACTGGATCGCATGATGCAGGACACCACAAGCAAGGACGGAGATACCCAGCCGCCCAGGACGGGACATAAATCTGTTACTGGACCTGAAATGAGCCGCAGTGAACAGAGGGGTCTTTCTTGCAGCCCGCCAGCAGGAGGAGGCGCGATGGGAAGAGGAATCCACGAGACAACGACTGGAAAAGAACAGGCATCGTTGTTGCAATGATTTGGAGAGTTCAGGACGAGGAGTAGGCTTGAGTAGGCAGATTTGTCGTTGAAGAGCACGTGGCTCTCACAAAGCGGTCAGATTATTGAATCCGTGACCCAAGCAAGGCACACATCGTCGCAGGTCATGAAGTGCCAGATTGGTCACCTTTGTTCAATGTGCGTGGGGAACCCGCCCAAGAAAGCCTTCCACAGCGGCATCTGCAGGAGGAGGCGAGAGCCAGCAGCGTCGGGTGCGCTGACGTGCGGCAGTGTTTGTGGCTATGCTGCCCAAGGCCTAAGGTTGTCCACCGAAGCTTCTAAACAGATTTCCGACATATCTCACAGAAGTCAAGCTGTTGGTTTGACTTTGCCGGCTACACGGCTGAAGACTAGAATCCGTGCCGTGTCTTCGCTGGGGTGGCTCGCGGCAGGGAAATTCCTATCTAGATTTCCATAGGCCATGGCCTCGAGCTACAGGTAGGGTCCAGGCAGGGTCCAGGATAGTGCGAGATCCGCCACTGAACGGCGCGGCACGGGCTTCCCGGAAGGGGCACAGGCAGGTGATGAACGGTCGGCATTAGGCCGTGCAGATGGCCACAACTTCAACAAGAATTGCATTGCTGCATCTGGCCAAAGGATGCACAGGCAGAACAATTGCAGGCAAAAACGAGTAATTGCGTCAGGGCAGCTGGCCCTGCGCTGCACTGCGATAGGGCAGCATCTTTGTTGAAGTTAACTTGTGTTTGCCTGCAACGAAGCTTCTGCATCGCACCGTGACGCACAAACACAGGCAGCTGACTTTCACTTGGCTGGAGAGGGAGTGACATGTTCTAGGTTCCGAATGTACCGGCTACGTGAAAGTCCTTTGCCTCGCTTTTTCAGGATGGAAAAGCCATGACTCGAGGCGCAGATCCAACGTGTTTCGCAGATCGAAAGCCCTTCTGGAAAGCTGCTCGTGTCGTGGCTCGAAATTGCCAAACAACTGGCCTAAGGCTCGTCGAAGCCCACGGGGCCGTTTGAAATCCCTGGGCAGACGACCCTCAGCGTTTCTCCAAGAATCGTCCCCAGAGGTGTTCTCCTGGAACTAGTTCTGCTCAAAAGACCTTGTGCAAAAAGCTGTGATCATGGCAAGAAGACCAGGAAGGTCTGCAAGAGATTCCCACACCAGTTTCGTATGTTACAGAACGGCGCGGGTCAGCCTGGACGAAGGAAAGAGAAACCATCTGCGATATCTCTTTTCCATTGAAGATAAGACCCTAGCGAGGACATCGGAAAACAAGATGGAGTGAGGCTCAAGCGAGAGATCGAACGCATGCGGGCTGTTAGTTTGGAGTCAAGTCAGATCCCTGCGCAGTTCAGCAAAGACGTCGGCTTGGCTGGGCCGTGGTTGACCCTGATCAACGCGCACGGCCCGGAAACCTGACCAGAGAGCCGTCGGGCCTTGATATAGCTTCGAGGTTCTCCAGACTATGGGCATCAGTGGAGACCTCATTGACGGTATCCCGGTACAGAACAAGCCGGGTCCTCGACTTCTCATGCTCTCCTCTTCTCCTTGCCATCTGTTGACATCTAGGGCCCTGGGGTAATCAAAAGCCAGGTGGATCAATATTGTCCGTGACAACTTGGACGATTTCGGGAAGCAGGATCCTGAGCAAGGCGCGCCGGGTGCGGAGACTCTCAATGGCTTGGACATATGCGTGGGGGTGATGACTGTTTCCCTGCAATGATGCTAATTTGGGCAGGCACCGGTACGATAGTCTGATCTTTACATCACTTGGCTTCGGAAACAACGGCAGATTGTGTTCTTGTCTCAGTCGTTGCCAGGACAGCGCCAGGCTGGAGACTTGATGCAGAACATGATCATGGGCCGCATGGAGAGGACGCGCCAGCAATTGCACTTCAGATGCGGCACGACAATCTCGACGGTGTCTTCGAAACCTCTTGTCTTTGCTCAGATGGCATGCCGCAAATCTCTCACCACCAACGATGTAAGTTCATGAACCAACCCGTCGTCGCAAAATCGAAGCTGCGTGCAAAACAGCGATCGGGTGCACTCGCCGATGTGCGTGGGTGGATTCCTGTCTGAGATACGTGTTTGAAAGCTTTTCACAGCTTCGGTTCCTTCCCAGTCTCTTCGGTGCACTGCGTCCGGGTGCGTGGTTTGGGCTACTTTGGCTCAATGCTGCTTGCCTTGAAGGATCACAGGTGCACCTATGCCGGTGTTTCTGGAAGGCTACGGAGAGAGCGAAGGCATTTACAAGATCGCCACTCCCCGAGTTCCTGTCTACAAGTCTGGTAACATGCGGATGCTGCCTGTGCAAGCGAGACAGACATTCCGATATGCAGTTACAGTAGCCGTCGCCGGTTCCCAGGTGATTGGGCCACGGTCAGTGGTCGTCGTCTCCGATCCCGTGGTTGTCAAGCGCATCCTCACGAGCTCGCCGGACCGGAAGGGATAGACTTGAGTGGTACAGTGCTGTTTAAGATAAGAGATGCCTATATAGGATCAGGCTGGAGACAAGTCGATTCTCCTGTTCTCAAGCTTCCATGTCAGAGTCGATTGATGTCTTTGAGCTCCGACAGATATACAGGGATGCGTATTTCAAACCTTAAGAGCTTCTGCAGTTCTCGCAAAGTGGTGAATCCCAGAATCGTAGAAAAGGCAGCAGTAGCCCCTGTCACCACATGGCAAATCCGCCAAGCGGCGCTGCGGCAAGTGAAGAGGCGCCGGACACACACATCACTATTGATGATGATGGTTCTATGTGGGGCGAGGATGAATTTGGACGTTACCGGATAGACAACCGCGTCTGGACCATGAACGAGATTCGGGATCATCCGCTCTTTATGACGGACGTGCCGTCGGATCCACGGGATATTGACAACTATCCTCTTCTCACAGCCTTGCAGAGCGTCCTTTACGATGATCAAAGTCCAGAGGAACTGGCAGAACATTTCCGGAAGCAGGGAAACGAGGCCATGAAGTTTCAAGCCTCACGGATAGCGCTTCAGAATGCCTTGACCTTCTACACGAAAGGGCTAGAGATGGAGTGTAAGGATGACAAGCTGAACGCAGTGCTGCATGCTAACAGAGCTGCAGTGGGCCTCAAGCTGGGCGAGCACTTGAAAGTAGTGGACGACTGTCGCGCGGCCGTGCGCTTGGACCCAAAGAATCTCAAGGCCTGGAGCCGGGGTGCGAGGGCCTCCGAGGCTTTGGGCCTGGCAGAGCAGGGCCTCGCCTTCTGCCGGGGTGCACTCCGCTTGGAGGGAAACGCTGAGGACAAAACGCTGCTCTCGGAGGTGAAGCGCCTCCAGCGACAGCTTCAAGAACTCCAACGGAAGCAGCAGACGGCTCAGAGGGAGATGCGAATGGAGGATGCTCGCGTCAAGGATGCCATGCAGGCCAGTGCTTCGGCCGTTCGAAACGCGCTGGAGCTTCGTGGATCTCGGTTGGGCCCTGCACTTTTTGATCTAGCGATGTACCGCATGGCGAATGGCGGAATTACCCCTCATCCGAAGCTGGTAGAGGGAGAGGACCCTGCGATCGAATGGCCCTTACTCCTGCTGTACGACGAGGTCAACCAATCTGATTTTGTTGCGTCCTTCGACGAAAGATGTGCTTTGGAGGATCAGCTGCAGCTAATGTTTCCTGAAGATCGGCGTGTGGAGTGGGACGTGCAGGGCAAGTATGTTTGGAACAAACTTGCCGTTTACCTGGAGTATTATCCAGAGGGCAGTGACGAGACCTCGATGTTCAAAATTGACTGCAGCGCAGCAGTGAAGACACTTCTGACGGAACGGTGCTTGCCACCCTGCCTGGTACTTCATGTCTTGGTCGAAGACTCTCCGGCACAAGCCGCTTTTCTCAAAGACAACCAGGTGGAGTAGCGATTGAAAAGTGACTCGGACATGGGTTGGGAGAGCTTGGCGGGTAATCACAGTACTTCGTGCCTGGAATAGCATATGGAGTGCCTCGCAGGAGCTTTACACAAAGGGTATCCTGACGGAAGTGCTCGAGCCCATCATGGGCTGTGGACTCAGTTTGATGGCCAAACAGCACTTAGCCGAGTGACCTGCCAGCGTTTGGCAGTGCTCGTGTGACAGGCCAAGGGCTGATCCCGGCTGATCCTGAAACCTGGAGGCCATGGGCGATGGGGCTTCCGGCTTCCCGTCTGTTCAAACTCAGACCCTCAGAGTCCGAGACCTCACAGCCACAGGAAGCGCCGCCGGGCGATCGTGCCTGGCTTTCACAAGAAGTGGCTGCAGGACGATGTGTGCTTGCAGTGGACAAAGGGCAAGTTCCGTCGAGTGTACACGTAGGACAAGCTGCAACTCGATTGTGCCCTGTGCTACTGTCCTGTTGTTCATCATTGCACTCTCTACTCACTCTAGTCATTCTCGTACTCCGACCCGTGGTCTGTGGTCGTTACCTTTTCCACGAGACGTTTCATGTAGCAGCAGCACAATACCTATTGACCTATTGCCTCATCTCCAAAAAGCAACTTTCTTTCTGGTGCGAGGAGGCCACACGGCAGATGGTGGAATGCGCTGTAGTCCTGCCACGTTTGATTGTCGAGCCGGACGAGAAAGCAGCAGCCGTCGGAGTTTGAAGATATAACAACACCGAAGGTAAAAGCAGTGGCCATGACAAGTGGCAGGTGAACCTCGCTGATGACTTGGAGCGTTCCATTTCGATAGCTTCTTCGCACGTGGCCGAGGCAACGGGATCTGTGGCGTACTGGCGTATTGCAAGCACCGAAGCCAAAGATGTGAAAGCTGTTCACGGCGACAAAGCACGTGGGTTTGCACGGTCTGTGCACGGTCGCTCGTCGTGGCACATGTGTCAGGCTCGAGCATGTGGATAGTTGCTCCAGGTCAACATGGAGGAAAAGTTTACTTCCGCTTCGCTCGACATCATTGGCAAGGCACCGGAGAGCTGAGACTCCGAGAACTTTGCCAACGTCTCCTGATCTTGTAGCCGCAGCGGCCCGGACAACGAGTGTAGCAAAGAAAATCCTCCTCGAACGGATCAGGCCATCTTCGACTACGACTTTGGCTCCACAACGCACCGCCCCAATTCCTGGCACGACAGAAGCCGCAGTGGTGTATCCACATGACCTGACTCTGAGCCGCCACAGTGCACGGTAGAAGTTAAGATCGGATCTTTACTGACTCTCCCGAAGCGAACTGGAGGAGTAGCCGTGTAGTAATTGCGTGCGTCCAAAAGCTCGCTGTCACTGGTTTTCACTGCTGCTGTCAGCCCGCGCTCATAGCTTCGCGAGTAAGGCATGAGTCGCCGCTGATCCGCGCGGTCTACAACCTGCTGCGCGAGGCGGAGCGCCGCGCCCAGTCGGTGGGGAGCTCGGGCGATGCAGAAAGAGACTCAGTGACTCTTGCTGCTCCTGCTGCCTTTTTTAGGGGGTTTTGGAATGTTGTCTCAGGTTGTCCCGTACTGGAACCTGCCTGGGGCGGACGTTGGGGCCTTGAGAGCCGGTCCAGCTGCGTGCCCTGGTTGTTGGTGGCTCTGAGGCGATGTTCCGAGACCAAAAGGATCACAGCGAGAACTTGGTGGGCTGCTCGTTGGTGCTTTCGCGTATTGCAGGGTATGATCAACAAATTACCGGAACTGAATAATTATCATATGATCCCGTGGAGCAGTACTCTTGACAGGCTCTCTGCAAAACAATGCTCGTAGCTTTGATGCATGCGCTTGTTTCAGCACCTGCAGGCCTTGGTCAATGCCGTCCTGGATGAACTCATCCGAAACGCCTTGGAGGCGCTGCAGCAAGCATCGCGATGCGTGGCCTCACGTACTTTCCTCAGGACCCTCCCAAAGAGGGGGACAAGCTGTCCTTCCTCCAGTTTCTGGTCATCACCAAGGGTGAGGATGTGACCACCAGGCCTCACAGTCGAACCGGTAGCGGTAGCAGGCGAGGTTTAGAGAATGGATGACTGGCATGCTCAGCAATTGCACTTGACGATTCGCTAGCAGAGTCCGTCGGCTCAGAGGCACAGCGTCTCATGGCATGATCATGTGCAAACCCCCTCCTTATCATGGCAACTGGCTGTGCAAATCGTGGGCGAAGTGTTGATGGGATCTGTTCAACTTGTCCAACACCATTCACTGTCAATAAGTAGTTCGGCGTTGCTCGTGCAGTCTGCCAAGCCCAATCAGGCCTTTCTAGCTTCGCGAGCTTTTCGCGATAATCTAGCTTTACGAGCCCTCGAAGCGGTCCGCCTGCGACCATGTGGGCGAAGAACCCGTTCATTCGAGTGGCAGGGTGCTCAGCAGTGCCATGGCCAGAGTTGCAAGGTCGGGAAAGCCCATTCTGGCGGCACGGTTACTGTCGCAGGATCTCGGACTGAGTCATGCAATTTCGAGGCTTCGACCGTGCCGGTGCTACTCATCCTTTTCATTTTTGGATTCGAGTGGCTCGATCCTCAGAAAGTACGGACGGACAGCCACCTGCGGCTTCATGTGACCGTGCTTCATGTACCATCCTACTCGGCTGGCCTTTGCTGTGATGTGTTTGCACTTTGTCTGCCACAAGGTATGCCTTCAACTGTGTGTTTGTCCTACGGGGGCAGCAGTCTCAGAATTTGTAGGTCAAGCGGTCAAGCGTGTCCAATTTGAGAATCCCCAGAGAAGCTTTTCAAGCACCCGGAATGCCGACACACTTTGTTTGCTATGTCTCGACATGCGACTTTAATGTGCCGCGCGGCCATTTTGGCTTAAGTTCTGGTTTTCTGTTTGTCTGTTGCTGCTGTTGCTCTCTGTTGGGCTGTTGCTGATCATGTCGGTCCAACCTCTGCGGACCTTGGTTCGCCGCTTGAGAGCAGCTGCGGCTGCTGACGATTCCTTGCTTGGTGCTGCACTGGCTGCGATGCCCTCTGCTGAGGCGTTGAGGCTGTACTACCACCTCCGTGATCATGTGCAGCAAGCTCACGTTGAGTATGAGACGGAGGGCTCGAGTGAGTATGACCTGCCGTCTTGCCCTGCTGCTGGGTCCTTGCATCTGCCACCTCAGGAAACTAACTCCGACTTGCTGGGCCTGTCGCCTGACCTGCTGGATGTGAACTTTGTGCCACCCGCTGCTTCGGACCAGCATGCTTCTGTTGGTGTCAGGGGATACTTCTGTTGTCTCCTCGCCTGAGCTGATCCCTGCTACACCTGAGGACGGTGGTTCTGGAGCTGGTGCTGTGGCTACTGATCCTGTTGCGTCTGCCTCCGCAGATGTGGCTCCCGATCTGGCTGCACCTGCTTCTGCTGACAGTGCTGCTGGAGCGGACCCTGAGGTTAGCGATGACGATGTTGTCCCTTGGGAATGGCCGGCCACTTCGGTCTTCGACCTTAACGCCATGGACGGCCTGGACGACAGCACTGCTCGCCCTGACCCTGCTGTGCAAATGCCTCCTGAGGACACCTCGGTGGTCGATCCGCCGCTGGCTGCTGATGCTTTGGCTGCACAGCCACCCGGCTTAGGTGCTGGAGCCCCGGCGGCGAGAGCACCGACTGTTGCCACGCCGCCGCCGCCGCTTTCTTTGGCAACTTCTTCGCCTCTTGCTGACCCCTGGGCTGGGTATCAGGGCCTTAATGTGCATGATGTCCCTGTTGCTGGTGGTTCGTCGGCCCCTCAGTCCGCGAGACTTCGCATGACTGGGACGGCGAATTGCCCGTATGTGTTGGCCTGCGACGTTCGTGCGGGAATTCCGCTCGATCTGACGCGGTGCTTTCCTTTGAGGCTGCCTTTGCGTGATTTGCCAGCTGACTTAAATCGTCACGGGCATACGCTCACAGGCTGGTGCAGTACAGCATGTTGGGGCGACTGCGGGCATGCCTGCAGTCGCCCCGTGTCAGATTCTGCGCGTCGTCCTCACAGACGCCACTTTTGCGACAGATGTCGCGACCTCTGAGATTTCTGAGCTCCTGCTGGTTTTTGAAACACGGCCGGCGCTTTCGGAGTCGACTTGTGTCTGACTGCTGCCCGGGCACTGGCTCGCTAGCTGTTCTTCTGCAGCTTGTCTGGCTCTGCACTCTGTGATTGGGGGGTCTTGCTGCTTGGGGCCTTGAGGCGGGCAGCTTGTACCTGTATGTCTTGAGGGAGCCTTTTTGACTCTGCTTTGCAGGTCGCGGCTCTGCGGGCTTGGGCCCCGGCAATTGTGCCTTTTTCTTAAACTTGGTCTTGTGACCCTTAGGCCTTTCTGCTGGCCCTGGCTCCTTTGTGGAGTCCCTCGCCCTTCGAGGTGGGGTTTGCACTGGTGTGCTGCGCCAACGACTGTTCATGCAGGTCCCTGGGCTTCTGCTCAATCCTGCTTTTGGCCGCGGCCTCGGGCTTGAGCCTCTGTTGGCTGTCATTGGTCTTGAGTCAGGTCTTTCTTCCTGCACCAGGCCGGGCTTGTGCCGGTCCCTGGTCTCTTTGCGACCTCTGCTTGTGCAGGCTGTCTGGTCTCCTTCGGCTTTGCTGCCCGAGGCCGGCTGCTTTCAAGTGGTCCTGCCTGAGTGTGGCAGACAGTGCCGTCACGTTCGCTAGCAAAGCTAGGCAATACGGACTGAGCCAGTCTGTGTTGGACAGTTTGAGTGCTGCTGGCATCACGACGTATTCTGCTTTGCTTTTCGCCGTGGCGAGTGCGCCTGGGGCTGTGGACGAGGCTAGGCTTAAGACGGCCAAGGATAAGCACCTGGGCCCTGATGCTTCTGAAGGAGCGGTCGCCGCTTTCTCGCGACTCCTCTTTGAGGCTGGGACTTTCGTCGTCGCCGAGCTCAGGAGTTCGGTGGCCGGCGAGGACGATGGCTCCAAGAAACTTACTTCGCAAGAGCGTGCCATTCGCATGGATGCATTGCGCGCCAAGTTAGGCGCGTGGCCAATCACTGGCTCTTTCGAGCCGAGTCATGTTCTGATTGATGCCGCTTTCGGCATGGTTGCTGATAGCTCTGTGCGGTACTTGCCGCCGAGCAAGTGCAGCTCTCGTGAGCAGGAAATTCTTTCAGAACGGCGTGACGACACGTTGTTTCGCCTTGAGGCCACTGCTCTGAAAGCTGCCAAGAAGCCTGTCCTGCCTAAGGTTGACCTTGGTAATGAACTCAGGTTGTATCAGGCGTTGAGCCGGCGAGGTGTCGCACTGGAGGTTGCTGGTGTCTGTTCTTTCGCTGTGCACGAGAACTACGTGCGTGGTCTGTTGGACCACCTCCAGCGCATGCCTCCCGCTGGGTATTCTGCTCCTGGCATTGACTCTGTGCTGGCCGCTGATCGTGCTGTCTGGCAGCATGTCGCGGCCCAGGTACCTTGCCTTCCCACTGTGGATGTTGCCGCTAAGGTCGATGCTGCTCTGCTCGCTGCTGCTGGAGCCCCTGCTGTTGCTTTTCATGTCATGCCCAGGGAGAAAAAGCGGGCTCTTGACGACGCAGCAAAGCCGCCTGGCAAGACGGGGAAGGGCGACGGCGGCAAGGACAATCGTCCTGGCAAGGGCAAGGAAAAAGGGGGCAAGGGCAAAGGCGGAAAAACCTCCGGTGGTGGGAAGCCTGGGTCGCCTGCCAAGCAGACTGCTGTTCCTGCTGCCCTCAAGGGCTTGGATCCCAACAAGGATGGCACGCCTTTGTGCTTTGATCGCAACTTGGCTCACGGTTGCAAGCGCGAGACCTGGCAGACTCCTGCCGGGTTGCAGTGTGAGAAAGGGCTGCATTTGTGCATGAAGTGTGGCAGCCCTGATCACGGCGCGCATGCGTGCAGCAACTGATGTGCAGGCTCTGAGGTTGGGCCGTTGGGTGCTGCTGAGGCTGCTGTTTCCTCTGTGGAGTGTATCCTGGAGGCGCAACCTGTTGTCTCTGCTGACTCAGTGACTGCGCCCATGCCTCAGAGTTGTACTGCTACTTTCGCTGTGTCTGCTGCCGCTGAGCCTGCGGCTAGTGTCGCTACCGCACTGCCAGTTGCTGCTAGCATTTCTCCTGTATCTCCTTTGGCTGCTGATTCTCCGGCTGTCCCTCAACCCATGGTTGCTGAGGAACGCTCTGCTGTTGAAAGTTCTTTTTCTGGCGATAAGCATTTTTCTGCTTTCCTGCCGGGGCCTGCTGCGGCCGTACGTCCTGAGGTTGGCGCGGCTCGCGCCTGTGTTGCTGTTGAGATATTCGCTGGGTCCTGCAGGCTCAGCAAATGCTTGAAGGCTTCAGGTTTTGAGACCGTCGCTGTTGATGTGAAGGATGCCGTCGGCCACCAGGTTCTTAAGCTCGACTTGCTTTCTGCTGCGGGCTTGTCTGTGCTTTGGGACATTCTTAACTCTGGTCAGGTGTCGTACGTGCACATGGCCCCGCCGTGTAGCACTGCATCTGCTGCACGCTTCATACCAGGTGGGCCTCGGCCTTTGCGTGATGCTGCACATCCTGATGGACTTACTGGTCTGAGCTTTGCACAGAGGTTTCAGGTCAATAATGCAAACAGGTTATACTGCTTGTGCCGTGACATTGCGCTTTTTTGCCAGAGTCGGAACATTGGCTGGAGCATTGAGAATCCATCTTCCAGCTTGTTTTGGCTCACATCTCCAATCGTCACGCTGTGCAAGCGGCTTGGCGGCAGTCTGCATACTGTTGTTTTTGATCACTGCTGCTGGGGAGGTGATAGGCCCAAACGCACTGCTTTGTGGAGCAATCTGCCTTGCCTCTGTTCTCTCGAGTCGCTTTGCTCACCTGCGCTAGGGCACGTGCACAAGCCCTGGGGTAGGCTACCCGACGGCACTTGGAGCACTAAGGCTGAGGCTGCTTACCCTGTGCTGTTGTGCCGTTTTTGGGCGCACCTGCTTCAGCGTCACTGGGCGTCCCAGCTGGCCGAGCGGTTGCGGCCCCAGGACGTGAACTGGTCTGGGCCTGCGCGTCTCTTTGAAACGCGCCGGGCCCTTGGGCTCTTTCCCAGAGGACGTCACCCTGGGGAGATTCGCAATCCTTTTAGTGATCAGGTGCACTTGAGGCTGCCTCTGAGCACTGCTTCGCATTTGCTGGTTCCTGGTACTGATGCGCGCATTGCTGGCGCACCTAAGGGATGCAAGGTCGTGTCATGTGTCAGAGAGGATGCTTCCTGGCTTGTGGAAGTCGGGGTCCCCTGTGAGCCCGAGGCTTTCATGCAAAGGGCCTCTTCCTTTAGGCACCCGTGTGAGTGTGATGCTGAACTGCCTGCTGATCTTGAGGAGACGCTGTCAGCTGTCTCCCGCATGAGCTGTGTGGGAGTTGGCACGTCGTCGTTGCCGCTTTCTGCATAGCATTCTGCAAAGGTCACAGGAATTGGCGCAGCGAGAGGCTGTTCTGCACTCAGGGTTGGCACCTCACGCAAAAACAGTCTTGCAAGGCAAGCGTCTGCTGCTGTTTGAGGAGTTGCTTGCCAGTCTCGGGCATGAGGACACGAGCCTGGTGCGTGACATTTGCAGTGGCTTCAAGCTGACAGGTTGGCTCCAGGCCAGTGGTGTCATGGAGCCCAAGATCAGTGCTCCTTCTGAGTCTGCTGCGAATCTTTGGCGGCAGCGCGCTGACCTTAACGCTAAGGCTTGGCACCAGACCAAACCTACTGCCTCTGAGGAGCTTGATCGCTCCCTTTGGGAAGCCACCGAAAAGGATGCTTCAAGTGGCTGGGCCATGCTTCTGCCGGCTGCTCCTGGCCCCCCTGCTGATGTGCTGCTGAGCCGCCGGTTTGCTGTAGTTCAGGGTGACAAGGTTCGAGGTGTCGACGACTTCAGCTTCAATGGTCTGAATGACACCCTTGGCACCTGCGAAAAGGTCACCACCATGTCCACTGCGCACACGGTGTCCCTAGGCCTGCGTTTGCTGAGGATTGCCAAGGCCCGCGGCATGCGCCTCCTGGGTCGTTGTTTTGATCTGAAGAGTGCGTATCGGCAATTACCCATCCACTTGGAGGACTTGCCATATGCTGCTGTGACGGTCTGGTCTCCTGCTGATAGAGCTGTTAGGGTTCTTCAGATGTTTGCTCTGCCTTTTGGTGCTGGTGGCAGTGTTCCTGGGTTTGTTAGGGTTTCCCTAGCGCTATGGCGTATTCTGTGTCGCCTGGCGCTTGTGCCTGCGACACTGTTCTTCGATGACTACACATGCATTGTGTTAGAATCTGACGCTGTGAACGCTCAGGCCTCGGTTCACATGCTGTTTCGGATTCTCGGTTGGCGGCTTGCACTTGAAGGTGACAAGGCTGTGCCCTTCGCTCAGGCATTTCAGTCACTTGGTGTTGTTTTTCTGCTGACCCCTGGTGTGGACTGCAGTCTCTCTGTTTCCAACACTGAAAGCAGGAAAGCAGAGGTGGCAGCGTGGTGCCTTGACAAGCTGAGGTCAGGAGCTGCATCCCCGAAGGAATGCGAGCAATTTGCCAGCAGGGTTAGGTGGTTGTCTGGTCAAGTTTTTGGCCGCACGGCTGGCTCTGCACTCCGAGTTTTGCTTGCTGCCGGCCGCGCGGGCAAGGCTCACACTGCCAGGCCTTTGTCCCAGGAGCTGCGCTGGGCGATACGCTGGATCCTGGAGCACATTCCAAAAGGCCAGGCCAAGGTATGGTCACTTGCCAGCCGCAGGAAGCTGCACCTGTTTACTGATGGAGCTTTTGAGAATGGCACAGCATCCATTGGGGGTGTTCTCTGTGACGGTTGGTGCCAACCTTTGCAGTGGTTTGGTTGTGAGGTGCCACAGGTCGTTACTGCAGGCTGGCTGTCCCAAGGCTGTGAGCATCCCATCATCCAGGCCGAGCTTCTGGCTGTTGCTGCTTCAGTCATGTGCTGGAGTACTGCTCTGTGTGACTCCAACACTTGCGCCTGGGTTGATAATGAGGTGGTTCGTTTTGGGATGGTTAATGGGTTTGTAAGGCCTGAGAGTGCCATGTGCATCCTGGAGCGGATGTTGCGACTGGAAGCTTCTCTTGGCATCCAGCTGTGGGTCTGCCGTGTGCCTTCCCACAGCAATCCTGCCGATGGGCCCAGCCGGGGCTTGTGCCCTGCCTTTCTGTCCAAGGCCAAGGAGGTGAAATTGGACGTGGGGCATCTAGTCTCCTTGGCCAGCGGCACTTAAAGGTACTGGGGCTTCTGGGCCGCTGGCCTTTTCTGTCGGACCTGCTGTAGGCTGTCTGCTGCACTTGTCTGTGCTGCGTTCTGACAGACCTGCGGTTTTTGAGGTCTGCTGTGAGACTGTACAAGCTTGTGCTGCCCCACGTGAAAAAGAGTGTGTCTCTGCATCTGCATTTGCATGCTGATGCCTGTTCACAGTAGAGCGCGTGCATTAAGTTTGCTATGTCTCGACATGCGACTTTAATGTGCCGCGCGGCCATTTTGGCTTAAGTTCTGGTTTTCTGTTTCCCGCCCTCCCATCCCTATGAGAAGTGACACTGACCCTTTTTGGGCTCATGGCATGGGCTTTGGCCCTGTCAGGAGCCGAGGTCAACGTCTGCAGCTACCGTGGGAATCTGGTGCTTTTTCGTTTCTTGGGCCTCAGCCTTCTGACCTGCAGCGATCTTTAGATGACTTACTGCGGGCACCTTTGCCGGTGCCTGTTCCAAAGCCGTTACCAGCTTCCTGTGCTGGCTCTGCTGCTGGCTCTCAGGCTGCCTCCTCTTCTGTGTTCAGGCAGCCTGGCAAAGCCAAAGGGTTTGGCTGGAGCTCCCAGGAGGAGCGCACTCGTCGAGTCCAAGCCCTGTGCAAGTGGTGTAACTTGCTGAAGCTGGCCCCTGAGTTCTTCTGTGTTGCGACTGTGGAGAAGCTGCCTTCTGAAGGTGATGAGGCCATGGTCGAGCATCTGGATCTGTTGTTCAGCAAGAAGAGCACCAACACACTGCTGACACGTGCTTCACCTCTGACTAGGTTTGTACTGTGGAGGCGCCGCACTTGCCCTGAGGACTCTTTCTGCGAAAGTGTTCTCTGGCTGCACTGCCGGTGGTTGCAGAGCACTGCTGCCGCCTCCAGCATAGACTCCTTTGTTTCCAGCCTGAACTTCGTGCATGGCACCCTAGGCCTGCGCGTTTCTGTTCAGGAACTTCTTTCTGCACGTGTGCGTGGTCTGGCCCATGCGCACCTGCGGACTAAGGAGGAGGTCGAGCAAGCTCCGGCGCTTACTGTCGCTCAGCTGAGGTGGTTGGAGTACTACGCTGCAACTGTGGACGACCTGTACGAGCGCTTGGTTGCTTCCACCCTGTGCTTCATGGTCTACGCTCGTGCTCGCCGCAGTGACCTACGCAGATCGACTCACATTGAGTTTGACCTGTCACCTGGTGGTTTGGATGGCTTTGTGGAATGTCGTGTGAAGAACCCCAAGCAGGCAAGGGCAGCGAGCCGCAGGAACCTCTTCATGCCCTTGACTGCGCTGTTCTGCGGGCTGTCTGACGTGCCCTGGGGCGCCACCTTCCTGGCTGTGAGGCAGGCCAACCGTTTGGAGACTGCTGGTGCTTTGGACCACCCTCTGTTGCCTGGTCTGACTGCTGCTGGTCAGTGGCTGCAGGAGTGCGTCAGCAGCAGCCAGTTGACTCAATGGCTGCGTTGCATCCTGGCCAAGGCACCTGATGCTGACTTGGCTTTGGTGGCAGCTGTTCGTAGTCACAGTTGCAAGGCTACTTTGCTGAGTTGGGGTGCCAAAGCTGGTCTCTCCGACAAGACTTTGACTTTCCTCGGCTACCATAGCCACGGTGTCAACATGGCCAGCGTTGGTTACAGACGAGACGCTCTTGCAGGACCTTTGCGCGAGCTCTGGCAGGTCGTGGCATCTGTTCGCTCTGGTCGTTTCCAGCCCGACGTCACCAGAAGTGGCCGCTGGCAGGAGCCTTCTAGTCCTGTGAGTTCTGCTTCTGCCTCCCTGGTGACGTCTCCACCTAGCAGTTCTGAGAAGAAGTCTGCTACTGCTGGTTCGGGGATTACCGCTGCTGTTACCAGCAGCTCCAGTGGTTCGTCCGAGGCCTCCTGTGAAAGTGACGATGGTGCTGAACAACTGGTTGCAGCTGCTCCCCACTTTGTTGAGAACATTCTGGGTCTTGGAGGTTATGCCGTGGCCGGCAACAAGAAGAATAAGCTGCTGCACATTGTGAAGCAGTCCACTGGTCGCCTGCTGTGTGGCCGTCTTCTGAGTGAGTCCTTCGAAGTCACGTCTGAGGCTGATGCTGGTGCGAGTAGTTTCTGCCGTACTTGCAAAACCTGCGCACTGGCTTCTGTGTAGCGGGGCTTCTGGGCCGCTGGCCTTTTCTGTCGGACCTGCTGTAGGCTGTCTGCTGCACTTGTCTGTGCTGCGTTCTGACAGACCTGCGGTTTTTGAGGTCTGCTGTGAGACTGTACAAGCTTGTGCTGCCCCACGTGAAAAAGAGTGTGTCTCTGCATCTGCATTTGCATGCTGATGCCTGTTCACAGTAGAGCGCGTGCATTAATTCAGTTTAACTGCGCCAGCTCTGTCACTGCAAACACGTCAGGTTTGACGATCGCTTATGCTGGCAGAACATTCGTTGCCGCGATCATGTAGTAGTCCCGATCATGCATTGTTTCCACCGGCTGTCTACCAGCCGCGCATAGACGCACACGTAGAAGGCTGGGATACCTGTTGATTTTGGGATGGTTTATGAGAGCATATTGGGGCAGCAGTTGCTGGCGTTTGACATAGCATGGTTCATGCTGTTCTTGCTTTGGGGCTGGACCTAGCTTGAACTTTTTCGCATCTTCAAATTTGTCTATCCCGGTCAACATCGTGGAGCTCGCCCGCCTGTATACCGGCCGCGCACCGTGGACGTGGTGTGTGAGCTCGTAGAAGGCTGGAACACTGTTATGAATCGCCTGCTGATTTGTGCTGGTCTATGAGAGCATCAGGGGCCAACAGTTGCTGGCGTTTGACATAGCATGGTTCATGCTGTTCTTGCTTTGGGCCTGGACCTAGCTTGAACTTTTCCGTATCTTCAACTTTGTTTATCCCGGGCAACATCGTGCAACTCGCCCGCCTGTATACCGGCTGCACACCATGGACGTGGTGTGTGAGCTCGTAGAAGGCTGGAACAATGTGATGCACCTGCTGATACGTGCCGGTCTGTGATAGCATCGCAGGGCAGCGTTTGTGGGCGCTCGACATAGTCGAAATGTATTTCGTTGTGATCTGGCTTTTCGACTGGACTTGAGCTTGAACTTTGTCGATGGCTTTGCCCATGTCTGCAAGTTTCTATTCCCGGGTACTTCGTGGAAGTCGCCCGCCTGTATACCGGCCGCGCACCGTGGACGTGGTGTGTGAGCTCGTAGAAGGCTGGAACACTGTGATGCACCTGCTGATATGTGCCGGTCTGTGATAGCATCACAGGGCAGCGTTTGTGGGCGCTTGACATAGTCGACATGTATTTCGTTGTGATCTGGCTTTTCGACTGGACTTGAGCTTGAACTTTGTCGATGGCTTTGCCCATGTCTGCAAGTTTCTATTCCCGGGTACTTCGTGGAAGTCGCCCGCCTGTATACCGGCCGCGCACCGTGGACGTGGTGTGTGAGCTCGTAGAAGGCTGGAACACTATGAATCGCCTGCTGATTTGTGCTGGTCTATGAGAGCATCAGGGGCCAGCAGTTGCTGGCGTTTGACATAGCATGGTTCATGCTGTTCTTGCTTTGGGCCTGGACCTAGCTTGAACTTTTCCGTATCTTCAACTTTGTTTATCCCGGGCAACATCGTGGAACTCGCCCGCCTGTATACCGGCTGCACACCATGGACGTGGTGTGTGAGCTCGTAGAAGGCTGGAACAATGTGATGCACCTGCTGATACGTGCCGGTCTGTGATAGCATCGCAGGGCAGCGTTTGTGGGCGCTCGACATAGTCGACATGTATTTCGTTGTGATCTGGCTTTTCGACTGGACTTGAGCTTGAACTTTGTCGATGGCTTTGCCCATGTCTGCAAGTTTCTATTCCCGGGTACTTCGTGGAAGTCGCCCGCCTGTATACCGGCCGCGCACCGTGGACGTGGTGTGTGAGCTCGTAGAAGGCTGGAACACTATGAATCGCCTGCTGATTTGTGCTGGTCTATGAGAGCATCAGGGGCCAGCAGTTGCTGGCGTTTGACATCGCATGGTTCTCCAAATTCCTCTCTCTTGGTCTACCGGCAGCAGCGTGACGCTCGTCCGCCTGTATACCAGCTGCAGACTGGGCATGGTGTGTGACCTCGTAGCAACTTGGAGCACGATCATGCGCCCGTTGATTGTTTACTGGTAGAATTTGCGTGGCAGTGTTTCTTGGCGCTCTGATCGTGCCTGAACTGTGCTTTGCGCGGAGCTGTTGGTAGTCATGAGTTTTGGTACGAGCGGAAAACATTGGGCCCGATTCCTGTGAAGTATTGTTGGGAGTTTCAACTGAAGAGCTATGCAGCACTTCGGAGAATTTTCCGATCGTCCTTGTACGATCGCAGCCATCGCTAAGAGCGAACTTATCTATTGCATGCATGCGCTCGTTCGTTCGTTTGTGTTTGTTTGTCTGCCTGACTGGGTGCCGGGCTGTCTGGCTGTCCGTCTGTCCTTGCATTTTTCTGCATGCATGTTCTCGCGTGTGCATGCATGTGAAGACCTACCAACATTTTTCTTTTAGGCATGCAGGTGCTTGCGCAACATTCGTGTTCCCCCAGGTCCTAAACCACAAACTTCCCAACACCTGACTTCTCGACGTCGCTAAAACTCTACAACTTGTTTTTGTTTGAGGTTGGGCCGCTGGCAGGGAGAGTCCCAGCTGCTGGCCTTCGTTCCTTGGCACTGCAAGCCTTGCGCGGTAAAGCGTTTAGGATGCATCACCGTGTGATCCAGGTCTTGGGATTTCGGGTCTTGGGGTTTCGGTTTAGGGCGTGGGCGTTTTTGTTTTTTTGGTTTCAGGGTTGGCCTTCGTGCTTCAGTCTTGAAACATATTCTGACAGGCCCGCGTTTTCGTCTTCAATGCGACCTGGCTCCTTGCCCTGCATGGCGCTCAGGTCTGCCAGAGTGGCTCAGGCAGCAGAGACCTGCAGAGTTGGAACTTGTGTAGCTGCGCTTTCGGAGGTGGTCCTTTCTTCGCTGCGCTCTTTCCGATCCGGGCTTCGTCCCCTCATGGCCGGGTTTCTCAAGAGGCTTCCAGGGTCTTTTGGCTTCTGACAGCCTGGCTTGGCCGAGGTGGTTGGATCAACAAGAGCGCTGTCCGGAGCCGCTTGTTATTCGAGGTCTTGAGGATGTTGCTGCGGGATAAATTTGCGGACCAGGAGGCCACCGGCAACTCCTCCTTCGGGTGGCAGCCAGGGCTGCTCCGGCACTGCTTGGTCAAGCGAGAAATGCAGTTGTGCTGTTTCCGGCATTGGAATGTCGGGCCAGCGTTGTGCCCAAATAGCGTCGGGAGCATGGGCTCGTAACATGTCTTGTGGTTGAGTCCGCTGGGATCTCTAGCATGCCTTGTCGGGGCTGAGCGGGGTGATCGCTCTTCGGCACACGTGAGTATGCTCTTCAGCTCTAAGGGTTCCTGGATATCTGGCGAACCCTCGGTTCGCTGTCGTGCTTCTTCACATAAAGCATTCTCGAACAATGAACGTCGTCTCGAAGTCTTGTGACGAATAATGGCCTGGATACACATCGCAGTCTGGGCAGAGTGTTAATAGCGATTGCAAGCTGGTACTTCTTGGAGTGCCGATACCTCTACTCAGACGACTGCTGCCGCCACTGAACTCCAACCCGGTGATTTTGGAAGCAGAAACGATGAGAAGAAACCCCGGCAATCACCGGAGTCGCGTTGTCTCCATCCTGGGTCCATTTCTAAGTGTGCTGGCCGCCATGCTGTAGATTCAGCATGGCCTCTCATCGACTTTCACAGACTGCGGAGTAGGGCGTTTGTGCCCATGGCAGGAAGCCAACGACATGCCACAAGTGCAACGAGCGTCGGCCAGAGAGCCGGAAGCTCAGAGACGGGCCGAGCATTTTTGGGAGAAAATGCTGTTTCTGCCAGGAGCCCACCACTGCAGCATTTGCGGCAAGTGTGTGATGCGCATGGTCCGAACCTCAGACTGGCTGGTGCTGAGAGGCATCAGCATGCCTTGAACAACATTCGACACATGCTTATTTGCAGGATCACCACTGCCCGTGGGTGGGTAACTGCTACTTGGTTGCATCCTTCGTGAGTAGCGGCACATATCCCAAGCAGATCCAAAAGACACCGTCCAGCCCCGCGCAATTGTATAGTTCACATTTGGGCGTCTTTTGCATTTTTCAAAGCAGCAGGAGACAGCATACGAACGCCCTTGCGTGTTCTAGAAGCTTTGACAAACGTATGAGTTGACCCCTCGCCTTCTGGTGTCGTGTGGGTTCAAGAAGTGGCAACAGTGAGGTGTTGGGGCCAAGAATCATAAGCCGGTGCCCAAGAGCAGGAGATCCAATAACCTGTGCGGCATGGATAATCGTGCACAGTGAGATACTTCATCCTCATGCTGATTTACGGCATGACGTCCGCCCTTGCTTATGCCAGACCCTCGTTCCAAGCCCTGAGTCAAAGCTTTGCAGTCTGTCGCGTTAAGGTACAAGTAGGTAGACAGTGCGGCGTCTCTGGGCATGCGCTCACACACGACCAGCTTCGATCGGGCTCGTCGACATCAGGTCGTGGCAGCCAGGCCTATCATCATCTCGTTGTTTGTCCCTCGTGCGCGTGGAGGACTTAGTACCGAGAGCCATGAACTTGTCGCGGGCCTTCAGAGCCTGAATTTGCTTCCATGTTTCATAGCAAGTCTGAACATAATGTGCAGCTTGGTGCAACGTTAAGCTTAGTGTTGATTCGAAGCATCCTGCAATTGTAGTTCTGGTTGACACTCTGTGCAAGGAGGGTTCGGCTGCGTCTACAGCACGCGTGCACGCTCTCGCACAGAAGCATTTCACATCAATTTATGAGCTTTGAAGTCCAAGTTGACTGGTTTGCAGCACTGGCAGCATATCCTGAACTTGAACTTGCCCGACGCTAGTTCCCCTTTCTCGTCCACTGCCGGGACACGGAGCACTGCCCAGGCTACCTGACACGCGGTACGATGGGGCCTGGGGGTTCTGGCCCAAGACTGCTTAATATCGGATCGAGGCCAGGGTCACTCATGCGGCTCAGCTTGGAAGTGCAGCTGAAGAGGAGTTTGCCTCTCTGAGGTTTTGGGATCTTCAGCATGGGCGCTGTTTTGGCCGCGTCGTTGTGTCGTACTCCAAGCTGCTCACCGTTCTTTGCGAAGCTGGCCATTGCAACAGCACATCTCCAAAGTGCATAAAACTCTGCTGGGCACAGGTCTGGCCATGTCTCTGCTTTTCTTTTCCCACTTGTGGTGCCCTGGCTGCACTTCGTTTCTTGCTAGCCGTGTCTCGGACCGCACTCGAAGGCTGATGGCAGTGAACCGCACTTCCATCGAGGTTGCCTATTCTGGCAGGACCGGGGCTTGGATTCTAGCATTGCGCACCATGTTTTCAAGCTGTCTGCTCGAGGAACCCCTACAGCCTTGGCATTTTTCGGAACGTCAGGGCCTGATGGGCGTGGTACTGCTTGCCTTGAGCTTGCATTTTGAGTACCGTTCATTGCGTCCCTTCAGCCGATCATGTCCAGAGACTTCGCTTGGTCGGGGAGCGTCAGGCAATCAAACTAGAGAAGAGGGGAAGAGAGGAAGAGAGGGAGACTGTGGCTCAAGCCCCGAGCAAAGCAAAGGGAGGGAGAGAGAGAGAGAGGCCAAGAGCTAGGTCGCGAGACCTGCTTCTGGCTGCGTGCAAGCAAGGCCCAGCAGCTCTGTGGTCGCTGTGGTGCCGCCCTCGGACAGATGATCCATTTCAGCATTCAATGTGCGGTTTCGGATGTCCGGCAGAAGAGCCTGGGGCTTTGGGCTGACTTGTGTGCAAGGTTTCGACTGGCTGCTGCCGGTTAGCCCACACCAGCCCGGTGCTTTAGATCGCGCGTTACTTGCGCACTCGTCATGCCATAGAAATAAGCAGAAGACATACAGTTACCAGAAGCTGGTGCCGGTCAACTCATGCAAGGCCATTGACTGACGGTTGCGCCTATCCAGTATTCTCTGTCCGGCGCTGAGCGTCCTCAAGTGCTGATGAGGCCCTGGACGAGGCCCTGCGGTTTTCGGGCAGACGAGTGTACTGGCACGAGTTGGTAGATTTGGTTGGCCGGTGTCAGCAGCTTGCAGTACAGTCGTTTGAGCATGCTTGCAGAAGCTACCAGTAGATTGCTTGTTGTCTGCACATGGCTGAGGACTACGAAGCTGAGCTCAGTGATGTGTGAAGCATGCACTAGTGATGCAATAGCCCACGAACATCGTGGCGTGCTTAACTGCCAAAGAAGCAGACACCGGCGAGCGGACAGCAGGCACATGCTGCGAGACTGCAAACGGAGCAGCAATGTCACCGGTGGTGTTGTGACGGCATGTGCAACTCTGGTCCTACTTTCGTCAGTGCTCCTCTGCATAATATCAGCGGGGTGGCGAACGAGTGAGGTCATCCGTTGCTGTGGTGCCTTTTTGTCGCTGAGGGCTTGTCTGCTCGCAGCAGCTTGGAATGAGCAGGCAGTTGCGTGACGACCTGATGACGTTGCTCATCGCTGGACATGAGACTCGGCATGATTCAGACGTCTCTCCTGGCATGAGATCAGGGAGGTGCAGGTTCTTCAACAGCTCTTGCCATGGAGTGAATCCAAGTCCCATAAGATTGTTTCTAGACCTGCGTGCAAGTCCTATACTTTCCCAGGAAACCACTGCAGCCATGCTCACGTGGGCGGGGCGCAAAGATTGCAGGTTATGTGCTGCATTGGACTGACTGGACATTTTGAGTGATGTGGATTGACAGAAGTTTGCATTGCCATCTGCGTCGCTCTCTTGCCTCCTTCCATCTGACCTTTCCCACAAGTTGTTGCCGTTGCGGATTGTTGTTGAATCGGAGAGAGAGTTGAGCTGAGACACTCCATGAGCTGGTGAAGCCGGAGAACTCCGTCTTCCTGCGGGAAGTGCAGGAGGAGGCTCGTTCGAGACATGTCCTGATCGCCCCCAGATCCAAGAGTTGAACCCCTTACATGTACTCTTCGATTCAGATGTTTGCGCTTGTTCGCCCTGACACAGGTCGACACCGTCCTGGAGGGACGAAGCCCAACTTTCGAGGAGCACCTCTTGCAGTTCATTGATATGAGTGCATTGCATAAGCCCAGAGCTTTTCAATATTCTCCGTTGTCGACACAAGGGTTTCCCACTGTAGTCACTACGAGGAGCTGACGCAGTTGCCAGCGCTGCGTGCATGTCTTCTCGAGGCTTTGAGGCCTCGAGCTGGGCAGGTCTAAATCTGACCGCTTGCATTTCTGATGGCCTGACATCTTGCAGCAGGCTGTATCCGGAACCTCCTTTGCTTATCCGCCGATGCATCGCTGGAGACGACGTGGCTGTAGGCTGGAGCCCTATAGTGCCTATGGCTTTCAGGCTCCAAGTGCTGTAGAATTTTGGTACCAGCTCCCACTCTCTTCCTATTTTCGAGGCCCCCTTTGCCATGACGTGCAATCCGAGACGGTGTCGTTCTTGCCTGGCCAGGTTCGGCACGGTTTGTGTGAAAGTCATGGGGCACCGGCATCGCAGCCTCGCGAAGGGTTTTTCTCCAAAGATGCGGGAGCAAACTCATGCTCCCCGGGTCGCCGTTCGTTGAGGGCGTAGATACTTGTCCGCTTGTGTGTGTTTTTCAGGGATATTTGGCCACAGGGGTAGCAGAGGCGAAGTGCAGCAAGACACACCCACAGACGCATTGAGAACGAAGAAGACAGAAAAGTTGGAGATATCAAGAGAACGGTGCCTTGCGTGGCAGGGAGAGGACATGAGAGAACGGCAGGACGCGGAGAGGTGAAGACCACATGTTCATGAAGCCACAGAACTTTCAGAAGGCTGAAATTTCGAGGGCACTTGTGGGTCCAGGCACTGCTAGACGTTGGATTCAGAGAGGAAATGTTCGGAGAACTTGCCCCAACCAGCGAAGACTGCACTTCATATGCAGAAAATGCCGCCGCAATTCTGTAGCGATGGTGATAGCTTAAGTTTAAGTCGTCTGCAGCAATCCAGAGCAACTTACATGCAGGGGCTTTTGCATCAGGAGTTTCCAAACAAGAGCCGGAACCACGTTTGCGTTGCTTCAAAAGGCAGTCTGTAAAATTGGGCCTGGCCTGGCCCCTTACTGCAAGAACGACCGCGAAAGATTGTTTGCCAGAAAAGAAGCAAACCCCTGTGACCGGCCAAACCACTGGACCAGGGCTATCCAAGCGAAGACAGCATTTACGTCCGTCCTGACTTCACCAGCCTCCGTTGAAGTCAATTGATAGCACTACACTCCGGAAACCGTAACATGCCTGTGTGTTGTTTTCAGCAGATATTTGCGTGTACGATCGGCTCTGTGTGCCTCCCTCTTTTCTACCCTTCGTGGGTTCGAGGGCCTGACACCACGGAACTCAAGTGCCTTGAAGCACCAGATGCCATGACTCAAAATGCACAAGAGCTTGACACCAGCATCGATGCGGCGGATCAGGATGTTGTGGGGAGGCTTCATACTAAATTGGAAAATACCATCAGCTTAAGGTCAGGTGCTTACGGCGGGTAGCAGATAAACGTAGTCGTTGCTTTTTGAGCTGGCCTCCGTCACAGGATATCTTCATCTCTACATGGTCTCTTCAGCGCTCGGAGACTCTGTGGGGAGAGGCCGAATGAATTTCCTTCTAAGCAGCATCCACGTTTGCAGAGACCTGGCAGGATGCAAACAGGTTCAACCCACACCGGTGGAAGGACTGCATTCGTGGTTGTTTGTTGAAATTGGTTGCAGCACAACCTACGTACAACTGGAGCACATGTCCTAGACAGCATCACAGCTAAGAAGATGTGGCTGCAGGAGAAGATCAACGGGAATGGCCTTTGGCAGGGATATTCACCTGAAAAGGCCAGATTCTTCATGTGGGACAGGTGGTGGCACTGCCACTAGTGACTGGTAGAAATTTCTCGAGAGCCGTGCTTCGTTGAGATGCCGTTAACGATAATGTCCAGCACCGACGTTTTCCCTGTGCGAGTCCACCAACTACCCAGACGAGAGGGCCCATCAGCTCAGACGACGCTCAGTGTGGGTTGCTGCTTCCAAAGATGATGTGTTGACTGCGGGAAATACATGTAAGACATTTAGAGACTCAGTAGTTGGTGTTCTTTGTCTCATGGCCAGTTGCGCAGCCTAGGCCACAGACTACGCCTTCTTGCCTTTCGGGGCCGGTTCGCTGCAGACCCAGCTGCGACGGCTTGAATAAGTCCGAGGATTCGTTTCTCAGAACTCGAGCTTGAACCTTGTGGGAGGTTTGGAAAGCTCCTAGCCTCCTTCGACTGAGGCGGAAATGTGTCGGCGACAACTTCGCACTCCTGGAAGCAGAGGTGCGCGCAATGAGACCAGTGTTGTCTGGTCTGGTCCTTTGTGGTGGTGCAGCAGTCTTGCGGAGAGTGTGCTGGTAGTAGGCAAAGGATACGTCCGAATTAGCAGGCTGTGCTGGTTGCCCTCTTCCAGCGCTTCGAGTTCAAGGTGCGCAAGTTGACCATAGCTATCTACATGTTTGCGAGAGACTGGTCGTAGTAGTGGTAGTAGTAGCAGCAGTAGCAGTATCAGTAGCAGTAGCAGCAGCAGTAGCAGTAGCAGTAGGAGCTGAAAATGCTCCAAAGTTGCCCAGGCGCCTGCCGGAAAGCGCAAGGTGGAGATGACGACAGGGGCAACAATCCACACTGCAGGCCTTGAAGTGACAGTTTTGCATCCCCTGCGACCGAAACAGACAGAACAAAAGCGGGGCAGGGACGGATCTGGCTGACAGCTAGACCGTACACAAATAAGACTGGTTGAACATGTGTCAATTTTCCGTGGAGTTTTTGGGAAAAGCTGGCCCCCATGTAGAAGGTTTGACGAAGCGATTGCAGGTGGTCTTCTGATGGAGGTGAAAAAGCGAACCGATCGGCGAGCACAGAAACATGGCGAAGGCCGGGTTGTCTCAGCATTGGATGACACGATGCACATGGCGTACATCCGCCGCCAGGTCGGAAGGAAGTGGATGTGAAGGGAGTGGTCAACATGGCTGCTGCCTCAGACGTCCCTTGGAAGCTAGACTGGAGTCTGCGACTTGAGGACACTTGTGGAACAGTAGTTTGTGACAGGAGGCTTTGTAGTGCCAGAAGGTCCCAAACGGTGAAGATTCATGAACTTCGAATTCAGTGTGCTTTTTTCAACCTTTCTTCCTTCGCATGCTTCGTCTGTTGATCCCATTCCCGCCAGTTTTTCCTGCTGCTCGCTACTGTATCCTCGTTGCTTGATCTGGCACTGGCAGGAGAAGAAGCTACGAGGTACGGTCGCGCAGCGAGCCGCTCGCTCAACTGTGGGAACACGTGTTCGAGCTTGCTGAGCTGGTCATGAGCTTAGAGCTCCAAGTTTGATTATCTTGCTAAGATCGAGCCGGAAGCATTGGTCGTTCCCACGGCCAAAGAGCTGCGCATGCTTTTCACTGCACAGAAGGAGGCCACACAGTCCCCTGTGAGGGCTAAACATGTCTTCGTTGCCGTTCCATCTGAGATAATCTTGACACTTCCGCACATGCGCAGCATGCGCACGCAATGAACCATTGACTGGTGTTCGCCATCTCAGCCAGGATGTGCGAAAGCTCTCGCCAACGTCTCCATCCTAGTTCTGAGACGGTCAAGACCCGACGGGAGCCGCAAATGACTCCTTCGGCAAAGGCCGGAGCTTTTCGAAGCTTTGGAGAAGGCCTACAAGCAATGTGCCCTGTCCGCAATCATTGGCCCACTGGCTCCCAACTGGCATGAGAATAAATGTAGCTTTTCTTGACTTGCCTCCGCGGGGTCGTCCTCCGAGGCCAGGAGGTGACCAAAGAGTACTCCAAAACGCGAAGCACCCAAGGGGGTTTGAACGGAGCTGCCTTCGCCATGGAGCTCAGAGGTGGATCATGGCATGTTTCAGAGGTTCTACCTGGGCTCGCAGCTCCTGGACCAAGATGAGCAGCGTGTCGTTTGGGTGCGCAGTGACACTGTCTCATGCAGAGTTGTGAGGTTTTGAATTGGCGAGTTTGCAGGCCATCTACAATTGGTGCCGAAGCACGGATGAGCTGGTGGTGCCGACCTCGTTTATTTCCTTTGCCTCGATGTGACTCGTGTAATTCGCCGTCATGAAATATCCCCGTTTCTCTCGCCATTTGAGGATGGACCTGAAGCCGCCAACACCACGATGGCGGATCCTTGGCCTGTTCCACCTGTTAAAGCTGAGTTTTACGGGCAGAGACTTTGCCGAAGAGCGAGAGCCAGAGCTGCCCTTGTCTCCTCTCAGGACCTCGAGGAATGGGAAGAGAGACTTAACAGGATCTTCCAGCTGCAGGTGGTTAAACGAAGTTACGTGAAAAGTTCCTTCGCTGTGCTTTCGTGGTTCCAGGTGCCTGCAGATGGTGATCCGGCGGACTTGGCGATGGTGGACAGCATTCGCAAGCGCTGCCCTTGGCCCTTTCACTTGAAGGATGTCTGTCTTATAGGAGCACTGTGATGCACTGCGATGTTCTGCGATGTCTCTGAGCTTTTCCTTAGATTACCCAGGTTCTCGTTGATCCAGAGACCTTTCCAAGACATGTCCAGGGGCTCAGACATGGGCGGCCAGGGAATTTCGAAGGCGCAAGATCACTACCGTGATGGTCACGCTGTCACCTCCCATGCCCAGTAGAACCGAGGGTCGGCGGGATGGCAATGGATCTGGTCAAGGACAGCCTTAGGCGTAGGATCTCATCTCATGTTCGGCTCTCTCGCTGTTACATATATATATATATATGTATGCATGTAAAAAATACATATACATACACATACACACACATATATATATGTATGTATGTATGTTTGTTTGTTTGCGCCCCTGCGTGCGCACTCCTTGGGATTGCTAGGGTACATTGGTCACGACTGCACCAGGAGAGGTATGCCACCTTCTATGAGCTGGAGGCAGCTGCATGAGCGGTTGAGATCACATGCGCTTTCGAGATTCCAAGCGCCATGGTTGTATGTAGTGCAATTACGGAGGTATACTGCTACCGCGTTGCTGGCACGGTGGGGATCATGACGCTGCCAGTGCGACTTGGCTCGTTGGGTCCCAGGGGTTGCTGTGTTGTGTAGAAGGCTTAGCCTGAAAACTCCCAAGGCTTGGCTTTGACCCAATGCAGAACTTCACGGAGGAGTTACAGGAACGGTGCTTCAGAAAATGCCTAGAATCGCATAGCTTGTGGGAGGATGCATAACTCTGCCGATGTTGTGCGAAGCGAACCCATGTGTCTTTGACTTCATGTGCGTTCAGGAAGAAACGATTGCTGCGGCAATGTCCCTCGGCGTCGCTTTCCAGCTGACGTCCCAACGGCCTGATTGGTAGCTCTTCGCAGCCGGCAATGTGCACTCTGCGCGATGGAATCGGCCATTTCGGTTGCAATCTGCAGCAATGGCAGGAATATTTTGCGAGATGTTGGTGAGGCCGTTGGCTTGGACCACTTGCTTCTGCTGTTCTTTGCTGGAGCGCGGCGTCCAGCCATGTAGCCATTGACATGGTGCCAGGATGCCAGGCGTGGTAGAATCTACGTTCCTTTGGAGGCAACGGCTGAAGTTCTGAAGAGATTGGGCGGCCCACGGCCACAGTGCGCTTGTAAAGGATCTCACGCGTTTCGGCATCACCGAGGATGAGGTGCCCTCGAGCCAAGCGGAAGCGAACTTGTTTTCGTTTTTGTCGTTGCTGAAGGTGTTGGAGGCCTCTCAGACTGAGGGACTTCTCTACCACGAGAAGAAGTGGAAAGATTTCATGGAGTCTTGGCTGCACGTTCCTGTATCCACAGCGTATGTGCCGGGCACCATCCTCGGGAGACCGCTCTGAAGTGAGGAGTTTCAGATGCAGCGGTGCGAAGAGTGGTGGCCTGAGCAGATCGGAGCGGCATAGCGCCGCGATCTTCCTGTCGCCGCTTGCGTAACTGCAATGACAGGGAGTACGACAACGCGAAGGCCGGCATCGTTGGCCTCTCGGAAGTCAACCGTCTTGGTGTGATGGCCGCAGCCTAAAAACAAGTCGGATCGCTCCCAATGCTACCCTCTTCACCCGTATTCGTCCCGCTGGCGCCAAGGCGGCACTATATGTCTACGGTGCTCCCGGCGTGAGTTTCTTATGTCGCCGTGTTCGCATCTGCGCTGCTCATGTGTCTCGAGAAGTAAAAGCACGTCAGAGCAGGTAGGGCACAACGGAGCCCGGAATGTGGGAAGCAGTCAAGTATTCTACACTAGGGGTTTCTATTCCTGACTCTCTGCTCGCGCGAAAAACCTCGGCGCTTGATTCTTTGGCTGACTACCCGAGCTCCAGTGTGATATGCTGCCAGGTGACATCCTGCATCGTATTCGAGAGAATAACTACGACAATCTCAGTTTTGCACTCAGAACGTTGCGCCACCGGCTGCAGCAGATGAGCAGATGCTCAATAAGAAACTGTTCAATGATTCTCACGCTCCCCTGCCTCTTAGTGTCTGCACGAATCAAGCGGTATGTGTCCTAGTTCTGATCCCCTGTCATACCAGCGCGAGGCCGCCGGGCATACGTGCCCTTCATTGACAAGGTTTTCTTGATGGGCAAGGCGGAAGGGTTTCTCGAAACAGCAAGTCCAGCCTCCATGTCTCCGGTGGGGGCGGCTTTCCGCCGAGCCTCGAGCTCCCTGCATTTGTTTGAGGGCCTAGGGGAGGTTCCAACGAGCCGCTGGCTGGTCCTTCGCCCTGCACTTCCTTACCGTCCAAGCTTTCCCAGCCCCTGTTGTGCTCGGTTCGGCTTGTAACGTGTTATTTGCGCATATCCGACGTCACGGCCTGCATGCTAATCGAAGCATTCGTCAGAGCATGCTCTTACCAGCTTGGGGCAGACGAATTCGGCGCAGGCCTGGCTCAAGTGCCAGGAGCTGAAAAAGGCGCCGATACAGGGACGATCAGGGAGGTTTCGTGTGCAGGAGCTGAAGTCTGCCTGTCGTTCCAGCACTCTTTGCTACTGCCAGGTGGCTCAGGAAAACATCCGAAGTGGCAAAGTCTTCACGCGAAGGAAGGAACACTGAGCCTCACATCACCGCCCGTTGGGTTGGAGGTGGGCTTCTCTGGTTCTGCTGCATCTCTTCACCCGGCTCTTGCCGTCTACGACATCCCGGCCTGTATATCTCCACGTCGCCAGCACAGCTCATAAGCTAGAGGTTCAAGGAGTACCACCAAAGTTGCATGCCTTGGACCAGAGCCCATGACGGCAAGAGCCGGCAGCAGGCAGTGCCTGATTCATGTGCAATTGTTCAGCCGCTTGTATACTTTGTGTGGACTGCATGTGGACCGTCTATTTCGGGGTATGTTCGAATGCGACAGGCATTTAAGCCGGCCAATTGCTTGAACTCTCTTGGAGTCTCGCAGCAAACTGCTGTGGGTTTCTCAATCTTAGTGCTGTGCAAGCCACCGGGCGTACTCAAAATCCCTGCGGCTTTGCCCATTGCTGCCGAGGTGTCTTTTCTACAGATCTAAGAGGAACAGCGAAAACCTACCGGCATGTTCTGGGTGACCCAAAACCAGGGACCCAGCCCGTGCGCTTGAGGCCATGGATTTTTATCTGCCCTCGATGAGGTTATTTCTGCGTGGTGAAATGCAAGGAAAGAGAGCAGAATCCAATCTGTAGCGTTTGGTGTTCACTTGTTCACGACTTTCACAGGATCCCCTTGTCTCGCATTTGTGCTTGATTCGGGTATGTTGGGCTACCAGGCCGCAGCAAATGCACCAATTCTGCTTGTGCAACCCTACCAACCTCGACATCAGCACGCCTGGTCACCAAGCTTTGCAGATCTCAGCATGTCCATGAGCCCTGTATGTACCTGACGTTGCGAAACAAGCTCAAGATGAAACATCCAGGCCCTCCAGTAGGTCGTAGTTCAGATGTAGAAATAAGAGCTGGGACATCTTCGACGCCGTGCAGCCATGGCTCCCAAACGAAAAACAGAAAAAGCCACAGAGGAGGTCATGGCCTGCCGAGTCGCAGAGCAGCAGAGCAGCGCCCTTGCCATCCGAGAATGCGCGTTCCATTGCAGGACTATGAGTCCATGACCTTGGCCGTGCTCAAGGGCAAAGCCCAGGAGCTGGGAGTCGTGCAAAGTGGCAGCAAGAAGGACGGGACGATCGCTTGGCGCTTTCTTATACTTGGCAGCCACCGGAGTGCAGGATCTGATCGAGCGCCTGCGCTCTTTAGCTCAGCCGAAGAGACACGTCTTGAAGAGTCATGAGGGCCAGTTGTGCATAGAAGATCGCAGACTGTGCCTAGCCGGCAGGCTGAACAGCTTTCGCATTCTTCCTGGCCCAAGGAAACGCGCAGCACCCCCTGCAGCGGAAGAGAAGGCTCCGAAGCGAGGCACGTAGATCTGCGACTCTCGCAATGACTCATCAGCACTGGTCGGCTTTCAAGGTGTAGCAAGCCGATCTTTATGCAGCGTGGTGACAGCAGCGCACATCTCACTGCACGTTACCCAAACCTGCAGGTAAGGCTGAGTCTGGGCCCGTCGAAAAGGCAGCTTGAAGTTCGATCTGTTCTGGTTCTGACGTGTCGATGACCCTGCATCTCCAACAAAAGCTCCCGAGACCTGAGCTGTGAGGCGGAGCCCAAGGGAAAGGCCAAGGCCAAAAGCCGCGGTAAAGCAGCACAGGAGGACACGGGTTGATGCAAGATCTTGCTGCTACTTCGGATTGCTGCGCGATTCACGAACGCATGGCCCAGTGTAAAGGAGGAGCTGGCCAGGATCGTAACGGCACAGCTTCCTCCTACTCCTGCTGCTAGTACCACCACCACCACCACCACCACCACCACTAGAACTACAAGCACTACAACTACTTGTACTACAACAATAACTATAACTACTGCTACTAGACTTGGCCGCACATCTGTGTGAGCATAAGAAACACGCCCCCAGCCTCAGATCCCAGTCGCCTGAGCCGCGTAAGGAGGAGCCTCCAGCTCCGAGCCCGAAAGCCAAAGCAAAAGGCCGCGCCTCCAAAGATGAGGACTTTATGGGGTTTAGGGTTTGGGGTTTGGGGTTTAGGCTTTGGGGTTTAGGTGTGGGGTTTAGGGTTTGGGGTTTATGGGACCAAAGATGAGGAAGGTTGGGCTGTTGAATGGCGGCGGAATTCTTCGCAGGAGCCGGCGGGCAAAGCAAAAGCTAAAGCAAAGGCTAAGGCGGGCGAGCGTAGAAGTTCAGTCTCAGGAGCACCATCCTTAACTGCATGACTTCTGTTGAATTCAGCAGGCTTTGACAATGCTAAGAAGCCAGTAGACAAAGAAATGACCTGATTATCGTAGAGTGCGTGCGGAAGGCCAGCCAGAAGGCTAGCCAAGAAGAGGAATCCACCTTGCCTACCAGTTTGGATGCCGCATCCTGGGCAAAGATTGCACCGCAGCAGTCCGGACGGGGCAGCAATCGAAGCCTGCTGTAAGGACATCACTCCTGCAGATGGTGAGATCTTCTACGAGGATGGTGAGTGGAGCAGAGCCCTTGGACTATCCAGGGGTTGCCGTAAGTGTCAGAATTCGTTTTGAATCTCTCCATGGGCTGTCTGCAAGGTGTGGAGTATGCAAAGTCTGGCCGCTCGGTCTGCAGACTCTCCAAGGAGCACTGCATCGTTGCGGCAAGCTCTAAGACCCTTCTGACATCCCTTCGCAGAGTCCTGGGCCAGGAGAAGATTCCAGCCGGGGCTCTCAGGCCAGGAATGTGGAGCGGACCGAGCTTGTACGACAAACTCTTCCATGGGCGGCAGAGTGTCAGGTTTGGCAAAACGGTAAAGTCCGACACATTCGATGGCAACATGACCCTTTGGTACCATGCCTCTGCCCTCTTGTGCCTTGGACGAGGGACATCTGTGGTTTCTGTGGTTCTTGACCCGACTCTTTTTTACTTCGCATCCCTAGGCGACAGGCAGAATAGAACAGATCTTGCTTGTCAGGTCAGGAAACCTCTTGCCAAGCTCGGTGAACATAGTCGCGGGATTTTCGAGCCTGAAGCCCGAGCACCAGAAGGACCTGCTGAGCTCTCGCGTCCTGTTACAGAGAGTTGCAGTTCTGTAGTTTATTTCAATGTCACCATCCACCTTCTCGACGTGAGGCCATCGCGAAGATCATCCCCAAAGGAAAGGGAGGAGGAGCCACTGGTAAGCTGTTGCTCGTCCGCAAAATTTGCTGGTCTTCCACCTGCCCGGCAAAATTTGCATTCTCAGGGCCACCCAGGGCAAAAAGCTGCACGAGGTCTTGGACGTCTTGAATCAGCCAGGCGCCAAGTCCTGGTTCGCCTGGCCTTGGTTAGGATGCAATTGTACGCACCGGGACTGCAAAAAATCGCAACGGACCGACAACAGCGGAAGAAGAGCAGGTGCCAAGAGCTTCCTTGGCTCAGAGGATCGTTAGAGCGGTGTTTGACCTGGCCCCCACACTTACCTTCCTGCCTCCCACGAAGTTGCATCAGCTCCTGCTCGTGACATGTCGCTCAGGCTGCCACCGAAGCAGCTCGGCGAGATGGCAGCGAGATGCTCAGATTTGTCTTCCGTTATCGCTTTCTTTTACGTGGGAGGCCTCGCAGACCCAACGTACCGAGGTTTTGAACAACTACCCTTCGCAGAAGCTGCATGTTTCTAGCGGCTTGAACGCAAGAGCCCGTAATGTGGTCAAACGGTCAAACTGCAATGCTGAAGCATTGTGGTGGTTCATTGCGGGCAGTACAGTTGCCGAGTCAATCCTACCCCAATTTGAATGGTACCTGTAGGGGCGGGAAGTTAAGTCTTTGTTGACCCCACGATAAACGCCTTCATGAGCGTGCCCGATGATTGCGACTTTTCGGTCGGAGCTGGGCAAGGCAGAACTTGAAGTCTTGACGCGATCTTTCCTGACAGTTGAGGCACCTTGGCGCAGCTGTGCGCAGATGGCATCTTATTTGGTGCGACGCGGCCGTGCGAGGTCTGCAAGGACCCGGACAGCCAATATGCTTTGAGTGTGGGGCCTTGACTTCAGAAACAATGAAGCGGATCAGTCCAGATATCCTCTGCGAAACTGCATGAGAGATTTTGCAATGTGGCAGGAGTACGGAAGGTCTGGTACAATTCTGCTGGATGGAGAGGTGTACAAATGCCATTTGGACTATCAATCTGTGGCGATTTAAAGTCGCATGCAAGCTTCGAATTCAGAAGTTGATGGACAACGAGGCACCGGATGGATGACAGACCATCTGAAATGTGATTTCCAGAAGCTTGGATGAGCCGACTGGTGGCTTCAATTGACTGTTGTAGCCACCTGCTCGAGACATCTCGAGACCCGCCAAGGACCCAGAAGCCGGAGCGCGACGTCTGGCAGCTAACCCCGGCGGCCGAACAGTATCCTGGCCAAATGGGCCACGCTCTGCACTTTTTTTCGCCATGACGTGTGCATAACCACACAGCCAACTTAGCAAGCATCCTTGCGTTGTGGGAGTTGTGTTGCAAGCTGCAAGCGGCACGATGATCCCGCGATCGTGTAGAAACTTGAAGTTGAAGTATGCTGGCTTCATGCGTCCGGTGATTTCTCCCCACCTTGCAGCTCTGGTCCCTGATCCCAGGGCAGGAGACGGCAAGCTGGGTAAACTGCAGCTGAAGGCAGGGAGCAGGGACCGGAGAATGCTAGGGACCTGCAAGGCGGCCTTGCCCTGATCGCAGGTGGGAGAGCGACTCTTCGCCACGAAGATGTCCAAGGATGGCACAATGCCCTCCCAGCGACTCGGGCATGAAAGGAGCACCTCGAATGAGAGATCTGCTCAGTTTTGCATGTTCCTACTGGCAATCAGTTGATTACTGACGAGTGCGGAGATGTCAGGTCCAGCTCTAGCTCGCAAGCAAAGCCGCCCTTGCTGAACTTGAGCGTCTACGTGTCCGAGGCCACAACTCAATAGGGAGAGACGGCAAGACATCTCAAGTGCATCTGGAAGTCTGGAAGGGCTTCTCAGATGACGAGAGGAAGGAGATTGAAGAAACCGGGCTGCAAAGAGTTTCGAAGCCTCGTTGGCACATTTGGCACCCC